AAAAAAAAAAAAAAAAAAAAAAAAAAGAATATAATTGTAGATAAAAATTATCTCTGAAATGGAATCGTTTTAATCATAATTTAATAAGTTCGATGCCAAGATATTTTTCGGTATCGCTGCTATAGCTTGTATATCAACGCGTTAAATTTTTTATAATCGGAATCGATCGATTTAGCAAGAGTTCACTCGCGCAGATGCATACGTTGAGTCTGTGTAAAAGGTGATGAGATTAAAAGGTGGTATAAGCAGCAAAGGATAGATTAGCAAGTACGGAGTAATAGAACGCAAATTTGCGTCTTAATTCATGTTCTTCGAGACGGTTTTCAGCTCAAGGACGGCCATGGGACGGCTATAAGACGGCTATCAAACGGTCGTAAAAGGCCCGAAAACGGTCCCAAGACGGCTTTTATACGAAAAGACGAGGATTTAGAAAACACGGTTTACTTTAGTAAAATAGTTTTATTCCAGCTACGATTTGAATAGTTTTAAATCGTCTATGTTCATATTTTATTTAATTTGAAGTATCGGCTTGGGGTGATCCCACCAGCCATGCCAACCTATTGAAATCGTCTCTACAAGAGATGGGTGTGAGACGATCAGCTGACCCGTCTCAAAGCCCCGTTCAATTCGAAAGCTCAAAGATATTCCTTTGCAACCTACGCCACGGCAGCAACGCATTCCCCTTGAAGGTCCTTGCCCGGATTGGTGCAGTGGTTTTTGTGATCTGGATTCTGGATGACCTTGTGGGATAATTTACCTCCTTCGCCGCAAGTCTTATCCATTTGTACTAATACGACGTCCCCGGCGCAAGTATTACCCCTCGAGGGTGGGGTAGGGTAGGGTAGGGTAGGGTTGGGGAACCAGGGGGGGTTTATACAGTACGGTTAGTGGAAATTGAACTTTTGAGGCACCCTCGAGGGGGGGTACCGGTAATACTACTACTACTTGGGCCTGGGCCGTAGTGATTTACTCGTCCGGATTGTAGAAGTAGAACCCAGTTACGTAGTAAATTACTTACTACTACTTATCCGGATTGTAAAAGTAGTTTTTATTCTCTGGACGACCTTGTTGGATCCTTTCCCTATCCGCAAGTCGCAAGTCTTATCCATTTGGACCGGTGATACTACCGGTACTTGCGCCTGGGAGGTAGTATACCGGTAATATAGTAGTAGTAGTACGTAGTAGTAGGGAGGGGATAATACTACGTAGCGTACTTTTTAGGTTCAGATCAAACGCTGATCATATTCGACGGAAGAATATACGGTACTACGTCCGGTACTAGTACGTCCCAGGCGTCCGAATTACCCCTCGAGGATAGGGTAACCAGGGGGATTGAAATGAAAACTCAACTTTTGAGGCCACCCTCGAGGGGTAAGGTACCGGTCATACTCTAGGCCTGTACCGCGGTATATCTATCTATCCGTAGGCTTATAGAAAGAAAAAAAAGTATTTATATCTCTTCCGAGTCCCCTCCCAAGAATAGCTCCTCCCACCACCCCTTTCATTCACTCTTTCTTTCAAACCAAACAGTCTTTACAAACATCACTATCAACTTTCATCAACTGCTATTAATCTTTGTTGAACAAACTCTTCTTCGATCAATCGATCAATATGCTATTCACAAACGCCATCGTCGCCGCCGCTGTCCTCGCAGCTTCTGTAGTAACAGCAGCACCTGCTGAAGTTGCTACTAGAAATGAGAGGACAATCAAGCTGTGCCGCAACAAGAACTGGGATTCGTGCACCGAAGCTCCTGCCCCCCCTGGAAAGTGCCGTAAGATTCATCTCTCCATTCTAACCCCTCACCTTTCTCAAATATATATATATATATTTTTTTTCAAAAAGAAAATCAGAGCTGATCAAATTCGCAGAAAACACTGCAGATACGGGGAGCATGAACGACCAGATCAGCTCTCTCGATACCTACGGTTACACCTGCTTCTTGTTCCAGTAAGCCATATTGTTTTGCCATTCTCTTTTGAGAACATCCCCCCCCCCCAAAAAAATTGTAGGCAGACAAGCGGCTGACCCAAGATCCCTCAGCGATGTCAATTGCGTGAATAGCAGCGGGTATTTCAGTTCGCCTGGGACGGTGAAAAACCTCAAGACGGATAAGACTTATTCCGACTTTCAAGATTCGATCAGCTCTTATTATTGCAATTAGAGAGAGAGGGGGGTTTCTTTCAATGGCGGGGGCTAAGGATATCTGGAAGGGCTGGGCCACTAGGTATACCTAGATACTAGAAACAAAAGAATGGAGCAGAAGTTTCTCAAAACTCACGCAATGTTTTTTTTTTCTGATTCGCTATTCGATCAGATTCGATTAGCTAAAGTATGTATCACCAATGTTTCGTCTAGTCTAGTACGGATAGGTCAGAGATGTACCACGGTACAGGCCTAAGTACTACTACGTGTTTGCTCGGTTTTTCGAAGTAGATTACGGCGCTTGGACAGGAGTTGCTCGGATGTCCGAGCCAAGGACAACGTAGCGAGCGAACTCGAGTCTACTCGAGCTCCCGGGATGACACCTTGGCTAGAGCCTTCTCGTCCCCCTTACCATCGACGTCCTGTAACTCTACCGATTCCACCGCACCACTACTGGGCTGGCGGCCTACTCGACGCCGCCAAGGCTTATACAGCAGAACGGAGGCCGCACCAAAGACTGCAAAGGCGCCGCATATGGCACCGCCAATGATGTCGTAGTAGTCTCCTACCGCTTCAACACCGTCCCAGAACGATCCGCTCGAGAAGTTCGCAATCAGGGACAGGAGCTGGATCGTGCCAATGGTAATGGCCACCAGGACGGTGATGGCCGAGAGAACGATGGAGTAGTAGAGGATGGCAACCGTGTCCCGGGCGAGAGAAGTAGAGGTGTAGAGCGTCATCATGAGAGCTCCATCGGTCGTGTCCACGAGACACATACCGGCTGTATCATTTCAGTCTGGACCCCACCGACGAGAGAGGGATGAGAGAAGGCATACCCGTGAACAGGACGGGAAAGATCAGAATCAGCCAGATGCTGGTCCCTTGCGCCCCGTGCAGACTCGCAATGCCCAGGACCGCAATCTCGGAACTCGTGTCAAAGCCCAAGCCGAACAGGACCCCCAGCGGATACATCTTCCACGGCCGATCCACGAACCTCAAGACCCTCTTGAACAGCCTGATCAGCACACCCCCTCCGTCCAGATCCGGTCCACCCACCGCCGCCGCCGCAGCAGCAGCGCCCTCCTCCTCCGCAGCCGCCGCCCGATCGCCATCCACCTCCTCCTTCAACACCGCCCGCAAGCGCTGTACCAGCCTCACCAAGATCCACCCGTTGCCCACCCCCAGCAAGATCAGCACCGCAGCACTGACCCCCGTCCCAATCACGCCACCCACGCTGCGGAAGCGCTCGAAGCGCCCCTCCAGCGCGCCGCTGGTCGCCGCAACCGCCACGCACGTGCCGACCACGACGGTCGCGTGCCCCAGGCTGAACCACGTCCCGACCGTCACGGGCCGCGCCCCGGCCGCCACCAGCCGGCGCGTCATCAGGTCGATGGCCGCGATGTGGTCGGCGTCCAGCGCGTGCCGCAGCCCCAGGGTGTAGGAGAGCAGCGCTGGGGAGATGAGCCCGGCGCGGGACCGGCGCGGCGGCAGCAGCCGCACGAGGGCGAGGACGGCGGCCCAGATCACGAGGTTGGCGAGGCCGAGGAGGCTGATGAGCAGGACGGCCGGGAGCGGGAGGATGCGGAGTCGAGGGGGGACGCGGCCGATGAGCTTGTCGAGCCATGGCGGTCGGTGGAGGAGGAGGGGGGGGGCGTGGCAGCGGCGCCGGCGCATCGTGTTGGTGAGTCTCGGGTTTGTCCTGTTCTTCTTGTTCTTCTTCTTCTTTTATATATATATATATATTGTCCTTCTTCTTCTTGGCCCAGCTGTCTGTCTTATTGTCCTTATCACCGTCGTACGTGGGTGAGGGGGAAGACGAAGACGAAGACGAAGACGAAGACGAAGAAAGATGAGTAATGAAAAAAACTTTTTCTCTTGGTATACATATATATATATGCATATGTATATGTACGCCCTCTTTCCATCCATCCACCTATTTAAACCCCTCGTTTTGTTTGCGCCTAGCGCCGCTTCTAAGTATCAAGGGATCTACTGCTGCTAGGTACTGTCCTCATCCCACTCTTGCTCCACATTTCTCTTCTCATCCCACTCTCCCCTCTCCTTCCCTCTTTCTCTTTTTATTTTTCTTTCTTCTTTCTAGAAAAAAAAAAAAAAAAAAGAGCGGTCTAGAGATGCGTAGATACCGTAGGTAGATATGTGGGTTTGACGAACGGAACGGATTCTGGGAGATTGCATACCTTTGTTGTCTGCTTGGGGATGGGGTGTGGTATGTGGAATAGATGAATTATATATACTTTTTGTATATGTAAGTATGCGGACTGGGGATCGGATATCGGATCGGATCGGATTGGGAGAGCTGGGTTGGGGAAAAGCTGGGTTGTAGTGTATGTATGTATGTGTATGTGATCTGGTCTATAGGGCGGAGACGGGACGGAAAGGGGCGGCTTGTGGCGTGGCCTAAGTAGCTGAGGGTTTGAGGGGAGGGTTTTTTTTTTTTTTTTTGTTTTTTTGTTTTTTTTTTTTGTTTTTTGATCTTGGCGGGGTGTAAGAGAGTTGGGTATGTAGGTAGGTAGGTATGGATAGATGTATGTATGTATACCTACGGTAGAGTGGGATGGAATGGAATAGTTGTTACCTTTGTTCGCTCTGCTTTGCAAGTGGGTGATTAAGGGTGTTTGCTTTTTTTTTTTTTGCTCTTTTTCTCTAGCGGATCGTAAAGAATCAGCTGATTACAAGGAGAGAGGCTGCCGGAGACGGTATGGGGAGCAAGACTTTGTCTCACCGTTTCGAGAATTTTCTTTTTGCTTAGATGTTTTAAGGATAGGAATGTCACGGAGCGCAAGATGGGGCTACCGCTACCTATTTGTTGCACGTATCCTCGCTTGGGAGGCAACTCGGGGTGTGATTGATTAGTCATGTGACCTGGGCCTCGCTAATCCCGAGGCTGAAGCAAGCAAGTACATCCATCCATCCACCCACCACCAGCAAGCACGTCCGCTCATCTCAAATTGCAGCAAACAAACCTCGTTCTAAACCTCCACCTTTTATCAACTGCAAATCCCTACTCCGAATTGTACCGGAACCTCCGCACGATATCCCTCCCCACGGCGCTGCAGTTCAACTACTCAACGACGAAGATGCCTCTCCAAGTCACCTCAGAAACACCTTCAGAGGTCGAAGCGTTCCTCACATCCAGCGCGACCCCCTCCAAACCCTCCTTCCTCGTCGTCTACGCCTCGCTTGACCCGAGCGGCAAGAGCTGGTGCGGCGATTGTCGGGTTGCAGAGTCGTTCGTCAACAGGAAGTTTGCGGACCGCGAGCTAGACGTGGTGCGGGTAGTCTATGCCGGACAGCGCGACGAGTGAGTTGTTGCACTATCCTCAGAGACACGAAAAGAAAAGAGAAGAGAAGAGAAGAGAAGAGAAGCAGCCCAGTGTGGGGTGTGAAATCTGTCGCTAAGTCGGACCCGAAAGGTGGAGAGATCAGAACAACCCGTGGCGCAGAGCTCCGTTCTCCATCACGAACCTGCCGACGCTGGTGAAGGTCACCGACGGCGTCAGTTCCCCTGTCGGTGGGCATCAGGGCCGCGAGTGCTGACGGAATGCAGAAGTGGGAGAAACTGGTGGAGGCTGATGTTTACGATCAGAAGAAGCTGGATGCTTTCGTTGGCGACTTGTGAGAGGATGGGTGATGGTCACGTGGAACGCCTCATTCGCATAGTTGCTGCTGCTTGGTGATAGGCAAAATCTCATCAGGAGAGCCTGCAGTTTGCTCATGCGTGGGACTCGTTGGTCTGAAGTGTGCGGCTGGGAATTCTCCTCGCGCTGCGTTTACGGTTAAGGAACCTCGAGAATCCATCGGTTCCGCTGCAGAGTTATCAAGTTACCCAGTCTTCTTCTTCTTCTTCTTCTTCTTTCTCTACTACTACTACCTACCGATCATGCTCTAAACTATCCGCGCTTAGCCTTACCCTACTCATCCATCCAGACCCATCTACATTCTCACACTGCCACGACTACTACTGAGGCAACCCCCCCCCCCCCCTCAATCCCTTCAACGTACACTTTTCTTTCTTTTCCCCGCCAACCACAATCTTCCTAACCACCCAGCGCAGCAGCTCCCGTGATTTCCACAGCTGCAAGACCTCCGCAAGCTCTCGTCCGAGCCCCTCACGGCGAGGGTCTCGCTGTCTCTCGGACTTTTTCTTGAAAGCGATTGTCGCTATCACGCGGACTACTACTACGCAGACACCTTCCCGAAGGCGTACGCTCGAGCGAGACACGCCCCCGGTCTCGCTCTGTGCCTCTACGCGTCTCCGCGATCCGCGATCCGCGAACGATAGCTCGAGGTGGGAGATGATGGGTGTTGTGAGCTACGAGGCAATCAGGGCAGCTGTAGGAATGAGGAAGGTGCTTTTGAGGGGTTGGAGCAGCTTGTGCAGGACTGGATGGAGTTTGCTTTGAGAGTCCGCGTTGGAGTGGGTGGATGTGGAGAGTGTGGGAGGTGGGCTTGATTGTGTGTGTGAGTATGAGTATGTGTGTGTATGTGTATGAGTGTGTCGGATAAGATAAATGAACTAGCTCGCTTAAGGGGGGGCTCGAGCATTGCTCAAGAGAAAAAGTCGATCGAATCCGAGTTCGCAAGACAGTTTCACGGTTGTGTAAATCCGACCTGTCTGCTTTCGAAAGCGAGCAACTGCTGCAGACATGGAGCTCTTAGCTTCTGGGTTTTTTTTTTTAAAGAACTAGCATATTAAGTATTACTGTCCGTGCGCTTTCGAAAAATCAACTTCAAAATTGAGAAGAATAAAAGGAGTCTAAGGTAATTTTTTTTTTTTTTTTTTTTTTTTTTTTTATATAGATTTGTAATTGTTGAGTAATTAAGAAGTAATGGGTGAATGTCTAATGTTGATTTTGATGTTCTCGCTTAAGTGGCCAACACAGAGGAATCCACGTTCAGAACGCAGATTCATAGCTTGAGGATAAAATTCGACTGATGGTGGCATTTTCCCCAACACAGAGCTCGTTCGCCACTAGACTCTCTAAACAACCGAACTGGATTCTCTCAATCTCTAAGCTGCGCATCGCCGACGAAGTGGCTGCCCCCGCCACAGCGATACCCCCCTGAGCTTTTATACCATCGATATCCAGCTGGACATATGCCCATCTGGTTCAACTTGGCCTGCGCCCGCTGCTCCGTCTGCTTCCTTGTCTGCTCCATTCTCCGTCTACCCTCCTGCTCCTTTTCAATCCTCTCCCTTCTCGCCATCGCCTCTGCCTGACGAGTCCTGGCTTCTTCCCGCTTTCTCAACGCCTCGTCTACCCGAGCCTGTGCGGCTTCGATCTCAGCCTGAGCGGCCTCAGCCTTGGCCTCAACCCCATTAATTCTTGCCTCCTCCCTCCTTCTCATTAACTCGTCGACCTCGCTTTTGTGCCTCGCTTGCACTTCGTCAAAGAGAACTACGTCTTCGCCAGCCCGATTCTCGGCTTCTGCTGCAAGGCGAATTGCTTCTTCTTGACTGCGAGCTATCCTCTCGCAGTTTTGCGCAGTGAGTATGCTGATTTGCTTGTCAATCTCGAGTTGGGCCCACGTAGCATCAGAAACTCCTGGATCTCGGTGATCAGCACCTGCTGCTACTTGATCGTGGCTAGTATGCTGTTCCGTTGGCTGTGCATCTTCCTTGGCCGCCGTCTTATTCGCGGTACCGTACTGAGGCGGATGAGCCCGCGGGTCGTTGTCGAGCTGCTGAACCAGAATTTGAGAAGAAGGCTGAGCAACAATCGTGTTCTTATCCCTGGCGCGGCGATCCGACAACATGGTGCTTAGACAATGCATAGCTACTTCATGTGGCAATATCAACTGATCACCAAATTTAGCAGGATCTTTCAGGAGGAATGCAGCTCTGACAATGCTCTTCGCCAAGGTCTGTACGTCTCGTGCATTACCCCAAGCTGGGAGCTGGGAGAGTTCCGCCATAGGACCTAGAAGCTCTTTATAGGCAGCAGGCTCTTGAAAAGATAGAAGCTGAATTTTGCTTTGCTGAAGCTGGGCTTCGAGGATGTGCAATGAATTCTCTGCATTCAGGGGTCGGAAGATTATTTCGTCGGCAAAGCGTGACGAGAGTCCCTCGTTGACTCGCAGCAGCTTGTCCATGTCATCATTGTAACCAGCGAGGATGATGACCAGTTTGCCCTTGAACTTTGGCTTCGTCATGTTATCAACCAGCTCGTTCACTGCTTCCTGAGCGAACAAGCCTTCGCCGAGACGATACGCCTCGTCGACGAAAAGAACCTTTCCAAGCCCGCGTTCCATTTGGGCAATAACTTTAGGTCCAGTCTGGCCTACGTACTGCCCAATGAGGTTGCTCGCGGAGCATTCGACAACCTCGACTTGGGTGAGGAATCCCAGATCGTAATAGACTTGCCCAATCTTCCTCGCAGTTGTCGTTTTGCCGGTGCCTATAATGGCGGTTAGACAGTACCCACAAACTTTCGTGCACGATGTCAGATCTTACCCGGTGGTCCCTTAAACAAAAAATTCATGGGAATCTGACCTCGAGGGTCGAGATTTTGAGCTCGCATCCCTTTGGCCACCTGTAGAAAGCCATCGAGTTTCGCGATGATCTCGTCACAACCAATGACATCCTTGAATAATTCCTGCAGGTTATTCTCTGCTCCGGCAGCTCGATTGTAATCCGGGTCAAAATCTTGAGGTTCGAAGTGGAATCTGGTAGACCTGTCGGCGGAAGGCAGTTTTGATTGTCGTGCTTGGTAATTGCTTTTGGCCTTCGAAATGAGATTTTCAACATCACCACCGTTACCGAAGTGAAGCCCGTTTCTAGCTCTGGCAAGAACGCCGACCGCAACGGAAACAGCCTCTTCGGTTGCCCCGAGATCTCGATCTTTCAACTTGAAACGGAGGATTTCCTCCAGCTCCGTATCAGTGAAGTCTTCAAAGCGGAAGGAGTCTGCGATTGGAAATCTCCGAGTAAGGCCCGGATTAACGTTCTGAAACATTTCGACCATCTGAGGCTCGTATCCCAGGAGTAATACACATCGATCCTCTCCTGGCACGCTCTGACATTCTGCAACTATGGTGTCGATGACCTAGACCAGGTTAGAATCACATCAAGAAACATTCAGAAGGAGCTGCGAGGAAATCTGCAGGGGAGTGCTTACAGCGGTTCTGTATATATCGGCGGCTCCAGCGCCGCCACCGCCGGCCCCAGAGCTTGTGTAAAGCATGTATGCCTCGTCGATGATCAAGACCTTCCCAACCGTACTTGCAAGTATCGCCTACGCAACAAGTTAATGCTTTATCTTACATAATAGGACTGAAGAAATACTTTTGTATTCTTTTCGCTTTCACCTATGGCACTACCGATAAAGTCGGATGGGTTTTTAGTGACGACTGTACATCAAGTTAGAGAATTATGGATTAGGATACGTGCAGTCGGTATTTACCTTCTCCGTTACTCAGGAGCCCAATGTCAGCGAGGATGCGGCCATACAGCTTTGCAACAGTCGTTTTTCCCGTACCTGGTGAGCCGAGGAAGCAACGATTGAGAGCGGCATCGACCAGTTTGACCTCCTCGATTTCTCTTTGGTAATTTGTCTTGATAAGATCAATCAAATAGTCGACAGAGTCCTTGACTGACTTCAATCCCGTAAGTTGCCGAAGCCGGACCAAGGCATCGCATGTGAGAATAGCTTTGGATGGATCGGGCCCGATGAGGTCTTCCTTGGTGATGAAATTGTCGTCCGGGGCAAGACCTTCTTTGCGTTCCTTCGATAGTCGGTCCGATTGGCGTTCCCGAATTCGAGCAAATAAATTCTCCAATGCTCTGGCATTTCCAAATCCATCTCTGCCCCGGCCTCTCCCGAGTCGGCGAGTCGCAATGCGCATATAGAGCCCATCAGGCCCGTCCTCGACAACCATTGAGCCATGATAGAACTTATTCATTTGGAATTGCAGCATCTGCAGAAGCTCTGTATCCGTATAGTCCTCGAACTGGAGCGTATAAGGAATTCTTGAAGACAGTCCGGGGTTGTGCTCAAAGAACTTCTCCATCTCCTTTCGGTACCCAGCAAACACAAAGACGACTTTCCCTACAAAATTTTCAATCTCGGCCAGCAAGAAGTCGAGCACAGTTTTTCCGCCAAAGTTGTGGCCTTCAGCTAGTTGATAAGCCTCGTCGATGAAATAGACGCCGCCTTCAGCCTTTTCGAGTTGGGCGAGGTGGTTTTTGACTTCAGTGATACCACCGTGTGCGAGACGAGACCCAGTCGTTTCGACAAATTCATCCCCACCTAGAACTTGAAGGGATGTGAGAACTTTCGCATAATGTCTTGCGACTGTGGTTTTGCCTGTGGAAGATTAGTGAAAGATAGATAACGGGACAATCGTTGTTTACCTGTACCGGGGTTTCCTAGGAGAACAAGCCCGAGGCGTTCCTTTTTCAAGTCGGTGTTTTGCCGAATTGATGTTTCGACTTTTGACTTGATCCTCAAGACTTGTGATTTGACCTCTTCAAGCCCAATCATTTCCATGATATCGTCGATTGCTGGATTGACTGTATTCTCTTGATCCTTCTGTCGTTGCCACTCAGTTTTGGACGGGGACTTGTTGTGATCAATAGCAGCCTCAATATAATTTCGAAGTTGGTTTCGAGAAGACTGGAAAGCGGATTGTGAGGCTACAGCAGGCTGACCAGAAGCCTTTGTGTTTGTGGGTGGTGTAGATCGGGGGCCGCAAGATGTTGTCTTCGGTCGACGATATACGGGCATTTCTGCGTCTAACTCACTCGGTCGACGATCTTCGGGCATTGCTGCAGAAGTTTTTGCTCGCTGTTTGGCAGCTTCAAGATCCTTTCGTTTCTGAGCGAGGAGCTTCGCCTGCTCAGATTCGATACGCATATCCTTCATGCTCTGGACAACCTTTTCAATTTCCTCGTCCAGCTTTTCGATTTCCTTTTGATGCCTTTGCATCTTTTCGTCTCGGCTCAATTTATCATCGAGGGCTTTCTTTGCCTTCTTTTCGGCCAATTTTCTCTCGCGCTCACAGATTGAACATGCCGTTATAGGACCTTGAAAACATCTCCAGGATTGAGGATGACCATTAGCACATTTCTTGTTCATGACGGCTTCACATTTCATTTTGGAGTGATCGAATATTTGGTGGCAGCTGCTGGGACACTTGTGGAGGCCACATTTGAGGGAGGCACCGCTGGTAAGCACATGTCAGTGGTTATCGGGGTACTTGTGAACGCACAACGTACCAGGGTTCTTTACAGCCTCCATCTGGACATTCAGTATCGAACGAGCTCGGGGAACACAGAAGTGCAGCCCGATCTGGATGTTTCTCGCATTTTACCGGAAACCCCTCGTAAACATGCCCATTTTCTTTCAGATGGTCAAGTAGCTTCCGCCATATCTCTCTGCCCTTTCGAGCGTTGATGAAAGTATCAGAATTGCCGATCATGATGAGAGCATCCCGAGCACGCGATAACAAAACGTTCAATCGTTCCGGAGCTGCCATGAAGCCAATATCGTGTGATTTGTTGCTCCGTGTCATAGAAACCAAGACTATGTCGCTTTCTTCGCCCTGGTAGTTATCTGATAGTGCAAAGTCAGCAAAAGAACCGTTCTAGTTCTAAGTTCGCAAGATGAAATGAATAAGAAAGAATTCTACAATATAATATTTGGGACAATGCTCACCGATAGTTGAGATTCGAAGTGCAGGTTTCGTACTCTTCGAACCGAGATCTGAAAGCAGCCCGGCACGTATCAAGTCGAATTTGTCGAGGTCGTTAAGAATCGGATCGTTGTATTTGGCCAGAAGATCACGGAGATGTTTCAGCTGTCCCAAGTATGGTGTAATCACGACCATTTTGTCAGTCCCGTATCCTTGCTGTGCCAGGTAGCGAACACATTTCAAGATCATCTGAGCTTCAAAATCATTTTGTTTAGAAGATGTTTTGCCGTCTTTTAACTCTTTGGCGTTAATCAGCTCTATCTCTGGCTCATTGTGATCGATGAATATGATGTTATCTCTGAATCCACGAAGGTCGGGTCGTTGAAGTGTTGTGTCCGCATCGGTTAGATCAGGGTAGGTTAGAAGACGAACCATCGACGATATTTCCGGCCTCATTCGATGCTGTTTTGTCAGTGTCACATGTGGGAAACCCTTCAAGATTAATCTTTCAAACAGAGATCGGTTAAGGTCGAATCCCTCGTTCTTTTCGACACTGAGTTCGTACGAACATTTGGGGCGAAGTTGCTGGTGGTCTCCTATGAGAATGAGCTGCTGTGTATTCGCACCCAAAGACGTCAGGATGTGAGCCTCTAGAATCTCTCCGGCTTCCTCAACGAGGACTATGAGACGATCAGAAAATATATGTGTTAGAATACAAGGCAAGACGTACCGATTCCTGGCGAGGCTGACTGGATAGCAGATGTGAATTTGGCTGCACCGTTGGTCGTACAGGCGATGATGCGCTTGCTCTTGATAATAGTGGTATCTCGCTCCCCAAATACACGGTCTAATTCGGTCCGGTCTGCATTGAATGCCCTTCCTGCATCTCTCACTTCTGCGACGAGATCGCTCAATATTGCATTTTTCCAGCGATTCATGCATTCATTCCGCGCATCAACTGGCATTTCCCATACAGCAGTAGCACCCTTAGGCTGTGCATGCCGAAAAGACCCCGAGTCTGGCTGCCCTCTTATCCATCGATCGAGCAAGTAGTAGGGGTCCACTGCTTTGTTGTTCCTCCCGACCCGCGTCATTCCATCATTTTCAGCCGGTACTGTGAATGTTTCGAAATAAGGCATGTCTTCTTCAAGGAACTCGAGATATTCCATTAAATGGCGCTTCTGAACGTTCGTCGACTGGTATCGGCCGAAAGCATCCTGGAGTCTATTCTCGTGCGCGCGGAGACTCTGCTTCAATTTGTCTATTTCGGTCCAGTGAGAGGCATTCAGCTTCACGGAATTTTGCTCCCGCAGCATGAGAGGCTTCGTCGCATTTGTAGACTTGCCTCCTAGGCGAATCATGTTGGCAGACGGTATACCGATCTTCATTAAATCCTCGAGAAACTGATCAAGAGCGTGATTGGTAAAGCACACGACGAGAATAACTTCACTAGTCGAGTCGTGCAGTACCTTCGCAACCAATGCTCCCAGAAAGGATTTTCCAGTGCCCCTTCATGATAATTAGCACTGTAATTACGAATCTATCAGAGGGCGAGTACAGGTTGAGAACGACTGAGGAAATAAGGCGGGTACATATACATACGGTGGGCCCTGAACTAGGCTGACGGATTGCGAGAAACATGCACAGAGAGATCGCATCTGTGAATCGTCAAGTATGATGCTAGTTGTTGTCCCCAACACATTTTTAAGGTCCTGTCCTGCCATACTCTGTAGCCGCCGCAAAACACCGGTGGGAATAAACTTTGGGTTGGCTACTGACTTGCCGTCCTCCCAGTGAAGTAGCTCCTCGGCTAATGGCAGATCGGTAATGCTTTGGAGGCGTCGTAGAAATGGCTCATACGCAAAGATAGCCGTGTCCAATTGAGCTAATCTGATGCTTGCTGCGGACTTCATCTTCAATAGCGCATATGTGAGAGTATCGTCATCTTGAAACTGAACGGTTACTACCGCAGATTCGCTGGCAAGCTCATCCTCGATGCGGAGAATTGATGGGAAAGCCGCAGGTTCATTGTCAATGAAAATGCAGGCCATTGTTCCCTGGCGAAGTATGTCGCGATTGTCTCTTAGGTACGCCTTTCGCTTGTCGTGATGGATTTTCTTGAGATGAGGCAGAGGCTCCCGACACTGAAGCTTTACGCCCCAGGCTTGGCGCCTCTTCTCGGTACCCATTTCAATCGAATATAGCCGGAGCTTTTCAACCACTGAGCCCTTATGCCGTCCGGATTTCATACCCATGAGAACTTGTATCTCTTCCCTGATGTCTCCGAGCATATCTTCTCGGAGCAATCGGAATTGATTGTCCACATGCAAAGCACGGCGGGATGATAGCCGGTTGGGATCGTCAATGAAATTGGCTGGCCGATAGAAAGGCAGGTCCTTGGATAAGAGCTCATCTGCTGTAGGCATTATCGACACACGTCGATAGTCAGCATGATCGTTGTCATGCCGTCCTCCAGGCTTCACCTCAGCATCAATGTGTAAATCATCGTCAGACAAGGGCAATGAGTGCCTAATCTTTTGCCCTAGATTTCTGGTCTCTCCGTTTTGCGACTTCAAGATAAGGTCCAAGACATGAGAGCTTGCAAGCTGAACGTACGGGGTTGAGACGTTTCCAGGGATGCGAACTAGATGCAGAAGTAGCCATGCATAGGAAGTTATTGCTGCTGGGACGAGAAGACAGCCTATGAACGCTTTGGTGTATGCATCCCAGAAGAATGGCGGTTCGACGATACTGAGAAGGAGCTTTGATAGAACAGATCCTGAGTCGATGGCTTTCAAAGATGGGTCCTGTAGATAGAGAAGCAGAGGAAGAGCGTGGTCGTTTAGAAACGCGGGCGATGTGTCGAATCTCATCGACGCCTGGAGAGACTTGACACCTGAAGGGCTTGACAAGAGTTTGTGAGCGCATACTGCCGGATCTGCTTGCACACATAAAGCTTCTAGGAACAACTTCCCGTCCCGAGAGGAATTGAGGGCTCTTCGGCCATACAGCACATCGTTAAAGAATTTGGAGAGCCTGATGATACGCGGGTCGCTCTGATCGCTCTGATCGAGACTTGACATTGTTGGATGGGTGTTGCCACTTCGGCAACTGGCCAAAACATCCGTTTTCGATACTGTGGCAGCTTCAAATTTGTGTTGATGGGTAAGAGAGGAAGATGATGGCGAGTCTTAATTACCTATATATATGTATTGGGCAGGCTCTTTGCAGCGGCCTGGTCATTTCTCTGCTTTTCGGGTGATTTCCAAACGGTGAAAGGGCAGAAAGTCGGTGAGACCAAACAGATTCACATTATGATAGAAAGGCCAACAAACAGAGGTCTCGCCGTGATGAAAGCGCCTTGCAGGTCTCGATGGGCTCATTCATATGCAGGAGCCTCATTTTGTCTGTCTGCCTTTTGAAGCCGGATTTCAGATTTCTGTGCAGGCACCTCAATGAATAAAGCCTCAGCTTTCACCATCTTCCTGCCTTGCTGCAGCTTTTGAAGCGGTCAATTCGTTGACAACCAGGGCGCCTTGCAGCTGCTGTTGGTTGACTGAGACGATACGACAGGTAATAATAAATACATGATCAAAGAAGGCGGTTACTATAAAGTGTCAGGATCTGCCCTCCTACAACAGAAAGACTTACGCAAGAGAGGTTATTACGTGATGTCTACACAGGATGATGATCGTGGGAGTTGGGGAGATGGCCGAGGACGAGGACGAGGACGAGGATGGGGATGGGGACGGGGACGGGGACGGGGACGGGGACGGGGATTCGCATCACGGAATTCAACCTTCAATCAGCCTCACCCTCACCCTCCAACACAACAAACACAGCATGAACCACCCCCACAGCCATTGGGCCAAGCGATCGATACAATCAATGCACAAACAATTCTTGTAGAGCTCAACAATCCAACCATCCAGGATGTCAGCTACGTTGCTTCCTACAACTGGCTGAACACCGAGTCTCCGAGCATTCTAGTTCCAGGTCAGTTATTTCAGCCTTTCATCCTGTAGCGCCAATCTTCCGCCTCTCCCACCTCTTCAATAGAGGGAAAGGCTACCTCACGTACATCAACCAATTTACTAACATACACGATCGCCAGGCTCTCCTCCAGTGTGGTCACCACCTGTAGAAGACGTGAAACTGGAGCGCGATAGCCAGGATGTATTTCGAGATGTCAACGCCGCCCGGTACCCCTCGTACCCGATGGAGCCTGCTGCAAGGGCATTGCTTGCCATGAAGCCCGAATTCAAGTTGCACTCTTTGGACGTGGTTGGGTGCGGCAGCACACTAGGAAATCTCTTGCGGTGTGCCATGGCCGAAGACAAGCCTTTTCGCTTCGATGCGATGCTGGTGGGAGAAACAGCTTTCTTCGTCCGGCGAGAGAGCTCTCCGACGCTGCTCATACCAGACCTCAACGGGTTTGGACAAACATTTCCGGAGATATACACAGCCTGGGATTCTGACGTTCGCAACTCCTGCTCTCACCAGCGAATCATCCAGTATGACTTGGGTGGCTTGCAAATCTTGATTCGCACTGAAACCGATGCATACGTCAAAAAATCTACCAAGAAAGCAGTATCCAGTCCCGCACATCCTGTTAGAAGTCCTTCTCTTGATTCCACTCTCGCTGGCATAGCTGTTGATAGACCAGACCCATCTCCCACCCAGGAATTGGAAATCAAGATGCAGGGAACGGTGGTGCCACAGGAGCAGATCTTCGACATCAAGACCCGAAATAAAAGGAGAGAATACAACATGGATGAAATACTTCCTCGTCTGTGGATGAACCAGACTTCAAAGTTTCTCATTGCATACCACGAGTTTGGACTCTTCGATAAGCCAGAGGTTGTCTCAGTCAAGGAAGACGTCCTGAAGTGGGAGAAAGCCAATTCATCTCTCTTGGCTCGCTTCCACGCGCTGGTCAAGCGTATAATTGATGCTGTCAGAGATTCTGATCACCGCCACTTCGAAGTCAGCTGGGATGGCAAGGGTCCGCTGCTTGTCACGAAGCAGATTGGCGAAGAGAGAGATGCTCTTCCTCCCGATCTAGTGAGTCTTTGGGAGAACTTAAATTAATTGCAGCACTCCCACTGGAAGTTCAGTAGACATACCCATACAGTATCTGAGGAATTGTTGCTCTACAGCTCTGTGCCAATTGTGACTTAATCGATCGACTGCTTGACAGTACCTCGCACCGGGTCTTCGTTGTATCCTGTCTCCTTCTTCTAATCCGATAGTCTTTCAACTCTGAAATTCCATTAGTACTGTTCCCCCGGTTTCAGTTCGGGTTTTGTTTCACTTCTCCCATGCTAAATGGTGCTTCTTGGCCTTTCCACTTATTGCAGATGTTTTCAATATTATAAACAGGATAACATTGATGATTCTCTTTCTGCCATTGCCGATTAGTAAATAGTACCTGTGAATAATCATTGATTTGTTCTGCGGAAGCCTTGGCAATTTAGAATCCATGCATACCCATTTTGGTGCCCGCTTCAACTGGCCTATATTAATGATAACCTGTATTTTCTCGAAGCGATGATATCGTGGATATCTGAAGTTGTGGTTCAGCAACAGCTTAGCTTAAGCGAGGAAGAAAAGAGTTGACACTATCAGTTTTTACGATTCAAGAAAGAGCAAGCCGATAATCAGGAAAAATCTTTCCGCCACAGTGAACAGACCTCGACGGGCGACTCACTCTATGCATTACACTGGTCGCCTTTCATACGAGAAAGAGGCTCAGTCTCGAGGAAACGGCCCGGATAAGTAGGGCATGGTAAAGATGAAGATGAAGATTGATGAATGATATAAGGTAACTTGAATAGAGGGTTAATAAGAGACAGCCTTGGCGTCAGAACAATTACCAGTCCAAGAATAGCCATAATACAGGGTAAACCATATCGATTTTCAGAGAAGGAACTGCAAAAGAAACAAGCAGCAAAGTATCACGACAACTCAAAGCAATGAACTAAACCATACTTGATAGGAATTCCCCACGGTCGAAAAGACTGTATTGAATTTTCAGCGGTCCTTAGTCCTTCAAGAAAATCCAAGTGTCGTAAGGCGAAGGCGTAACAGCTGAAAAGAGTAGGCGCGTCGTATCTGCAGCTTTCAACTAAGATACTAAATACCTTATAATAATGACGACGAGCCTCTGAACAGGTCCGGTCAGGCTCCAGTCACCCGGCCACGGATAAAACTCATCAGAATCTTGATGCCCGGTGTTTTCTTTGATGGAATCGATCCAGTTCCATCTCTCTCTCTAGGCGGTCAAGGCGAGGTTGATGGACGAGAAGCCTGAGAACAGAGGCGATACACTCACTGGCTTGCAACCCTGCAGCCACTAACTTGCGAAAGATGCATGCATGCATCGGTTATTCCTGTGCAACTAGGGGGGTGATCGTGAGATGGAGAGGTTGGGTATGCATACAGCTACTGGAAATGAACTTGCTCTTCCAAATCGGTACGCAAAAACTTGCATAAAAACCAGCGGGTTGCAGATGAAGCAAATGAACCACGGTAGCTTGTATTTCTAAACATTAAAGCATGTTGAAAGTAAATGGTGGCTTGATTGACCGATTCTCAAGTGACAATGACAGCCCACAGACTTCTACCCGAAATCTATTCATTAATCGTAGCCTCTATTCCCGACATCTATGAGGTATAAATGCTTGATATAAAGCCTTCCCATACTCCGGCCATGCAGTAATGTGGTGTTTTTTTCACTGTGCTAGCGCCGAGCACCGATGAAGACTTGGCGCACTGGTCTACAAGCTCTTCTTCCCAAAATACAGGGTAAAGACCGATTGGTATGCCTAGGATATGGTTGCCTCTACTCCACTTGCTTTTATAACCCCGTCTCCAGAGTTTCGCGAAGGCATCGCAATCGGGCGGCCTTGCGCTTTTGATGTCAGTGCAACGATTTCTCGAAGCATCATCTCCCGGGTGTCCCGAGTCAAGTCCTCGACATCTCCAGGCTGTAGCCCTCTTGTTTCGATTGGTTTCAAGACTGCCGTTATTAGCAGAGTGCCAGCTACCAGTATTTCAACTCCTACCTTTGATCGCAATGTTCCCCGCCTTGAATTTCCACCCGGGCACGTATAGCACATCTGAATAATTCGCAACCACCACCGGCACAATTGGAACGCCTGCCTGGACGGCCAAGTGGAATGCTCCCTTCTTAAACGGTAGTAGCGTAGGGTCCTTTGCATAACTTCTTGTACCCTCTGGGAACATAAACACGCTCTGCTTCTGCTTCGTCATTTCCTCCGAAGCGCTTGCCATCGCATGCCGCGCATTCGTCGAGTTCGCCCTGTCGATGAAAACTGTGTTGGATAAAGCCATGAACCACCCCAGGAACGGCACGTTCTTCAGTGACTTCTTCGCAGTGACCGAGCATCTTTTGGGGAAAATGCATCCCAGCATCAACACATCCAACTCCGACTGGTGAGGGCCAATAAAGACCGCGGGTCGGGTCTTATTCAGGTAGTCGTTCGGATCATCGATGGAGAAAGTTATGCCTGTCGTGAACCGCATCACATACTTGAAGAATCGTGCAGTCGCCCATTGTGAACTCCGACCCCGGCCTACCAGCCGCAGCAATATCGACACGATCACGCCGTACGACGCAGATAGTATGACAGACGGGTAGGATGCGAGGAGGAGGCCGAAGAAGCCCAGCACGGGGAACCTGGAGGACATCATGAAGAGGAAAATGGTGAGGGCGAGATACCCAATGCCGATGGCACCGAGGTAGAGCAGGAAGCTGGACATTTTGTTGTCGCAGAAGCTCTGGAGACTTTTTTGTGTGTTTGACGGTGATTATGCCCTCTCGCGGAGGGATGAGAGATCACATAGACGGGGCCGACACCAGCGAATTTGTGTTGAGGAATGAGTGGGTTCCAAATTCTGGACCGGTGGTGAGACCTGCCCAGGCGCTAATTGATTTAGAGCTCGTACTAGCGAGTAAGTCGATCATCACCAGGCAAAAAAAATCGATATCTCGATCAATATAAGGACATGTGCCATCACCATCACCATCACCATCACCAAAATCAGGTCTTTTTACGATACACAATGGTCACGATGGGCTCTACTGATCATGAAATGAGCATCACCGTCGGTGTGTTGGCCCTCCAAGGCGCCTTCAACGAACACGTGCAGCTATTGAGACAGGCAGCTCAGATATTGGCCACCAAAGACAAAGATATTGTCCAAAGAAACTGGACTTTCAAGGAGGTCCGCACCGAGGAGGAATTGAGTTCATGTGATGCCCTGATCCTCCCTGGAGGGGAAAGTACAGCAATATCGTTGGTTGCACAGAGATCAAATATGCTGGAACCTCTTCGAGACTTTGTCAAGTGAGTCACTCTTACTGTTTTGAGCATATTATACTCACATCCACACAGGGTCAAAAGAAAGCCAGCATGGGGGACATGTGCAGGTCTCATACTGCTTGCCGAGTCTGCAAACAGGACAAAGAAAGGAGGCCAAGAGCTCATTGGTGGTCTTGACGTCCGAGTCAACCGCAACCATTTCGGACGTCAGATCGAGAGCTTTGAAGCCAACCTAGATCTGCCATTCCTCAAGCAGGCCGATGGGGAGAGTCTGGATGCAAATCAGACACCTTTCAGAGCTATCTTCATCCGAGCCCCAATAGTGGAGAGGTTATTACCAACAGTAACTGGCATCCAGGAGGGAGAAGCGAAGATTGATGACACGGTCGTTGCACCGTCAAGGGAAATCAACCAGGAGGCAGCCAGGAGTATTAATATTGGAAATGTTGAGGTTATGGGCACGTTACCAGGTCGCACTACCGTGATCAAAGATGATGCAACGAAAGAGAAGTTGGATGCCGAGGCTGGAGATATCATCGCTGTCCGCCAAGCGAATGTGTTTGGGACGAGCTTCCATCCCGAGTTGACAGGAGATCCCCGGATACATGTCTGGTGGTTGAAGCAAGTTATAGAGGCAGTACACAGGAGGAGGATTTCTTGATTTGTTCTCCATTTTTTCTTCTGCTGATTGAATGCCAAGCGTAGAACAGCCGACCTGATACTCAAACTATTTCAGTCAGTAAAATGATACCCATTAGAAACAAAACATCTAGCCGCGTCTTGGGCATAAGTCGTCTATCCAAGTTTGCAAGTACGCATTCGTCGAGTATGTGAACCGAAAAATCTTTCAAGAATTCTTCGTCAAGTTCTGCTTCTAGCTGACCGTGGTCTGAATTCTCTAAAACCCCCGCCGCCGCCCCCCTCCCCCCAAAAAAACCCCTACGGTCCTAATTTTCTCCTCAAAGGCATCAGTCAAACTGTGCATTGAGTCCAGCAAATGCTTTGGCAGCCCGCTAGGTGTGTGCTCCTTTAATTTAGAGGCCTTTTTGGACGATGCACTTCTGCATTGTCTAAGCCCTGACTTCCTTAACGAGGGGGTGGCTCGTCAATCGTACACTGGAGCTCATCTATTGCCCGCTATAGCCTTCGATAATATACACACTTGCACACTTCAATTCACAATTACTCAATCATACATATAGCTTGCGCTGTAAGAATTCCAGCTAGTCAAGCGGTCAAGTTTTGTGCGTGGCCTCTAGGGCAAGGTACTCGAATCGTTTGAGGTTCCCGCCCCTTACTTAGCTGCAGAGGGGCAACGACTTCTGGTTTCGTGTGCAATGCTTTTCAGATTGGGCATTTTTGATATAGCCCGGCATCTATGGAACCCGAGCTTATCCCCGATGGCGCTCACTTCATTCGCATCACTTGTATGAGCTTAATAAAACTGATATCTGATTGAGAATACTCGATTAAATAGCATGGTTCCGAGCATCGAAAACGATAAAGAGGCATTGGCCGCACCCATGGATACGGACCAAGAGCTCCTCAGTGGTCTGCGACGAGTCTGCTGAACAGGTTAGATTCGAATACCTCCATGTACTTCAAGAACAGCTTCGTCGTGCGATCGTAAAGATAATTGAAGTGCTGGGCGGCAATATGTAGCAACATGTAGCAACGTGTCCTTAACAGAAGAGAGATCCGGCCGGAAATCCAGTAGAAGCTATTGCAGAAAATTATTGAGGGATTCCCATCCGTTACCCGCTCCGAGAAAGCTGTAGCTGAAAGCAGTGGACCACCTACTCCTTGAAAGTTTGCGTTTGTTTTCTTTCGCTTACTACCTTACGTAGCAAGTGAAAATGAACGTCGTGTAATGTTCTGAACCTGAAATACCACTTGCAAATGTATTTTTACGAAGACTGAGCACCTGGTAACGAACATAGCTCTTTAAAAAGCAAAAAAGATAAGAAGGGCGTTACACAACATGGGATAAATCACGTGTTGGAGGTTATGCTAAAACGCTACCTCGCTTATATACCCACATGCTCTGTTTCGTCGTGACGACCGCCTATTTTCAAACCTCAATTCTTCACACCTCTACAAAGATGGCCGCAGCTACAGCAACCCCGGCGAATGACCTAAAATCTGCGCTTGCTTACAAACCGCAGCCTCTTAAGTTCGGTACTAGCGGTCGTCGCGGGGAAGTCATTCACCTGACCCAGGTTTGTGTTTCCATTATGGATTCTTGTCTGAGATGAATATACCAAAACTCCTGAAATTTCAAAAACGTGTACTAAAGATCCAAATAGCTCGAGGTATACACAAATGTTGTCGCCGAGATCCGATATCTGAAATCACTTCCTCTGGCTGAAGGTGGCATTGAAACTGGTGATGAATTCTTCTACGCCTACGACCGTCGTCCAAGTTCTATCCAGCTCGACGAAAATGGCCGAGGTGGCCTCAGTCAAGCGGTAGAACAGGCCCTGAGAGACACAGGCATGGTTCCTGTCAGTCTAGGGCCGATCCCTACTCCTGCTCTCACGTGCTGGGCTCTGCACAAGGGTAAGGGCAGCATCATGGTGACTGGAAGCCACATCCCGTTCGATCGCAACGGATATAAACTCAACACCTCCAAAGGCGAGCTCATGAAGAAGGATGAGCAACCCATCAATGACCAGGTCGCACGGTTCCGTGAAGAGATCCTGTCAAAGCCTTTCGCTGAAAGTATCTTTGATGAACAGGGAGTTCTTCGCAAGAAGGAACCACTTTTATCAATCATAGGGGATGGGAGAGGAGCGTACATCCAGCGATATCTAGATTTCTTCAAGGGCGAGACTCTTGAGGGAATGAATCTGCTCGCATATCAACACTCAGCTGTCGGACGGGTTCTTTTGGTCGAGATCTTTGAAGCACTGGGCGCCAAAGTCACTCCTGTTGGCCGAAGTGACACTTTCGTCCCAATAGATACCGAAGCCATAGACCAAGCCCAGCTTGACACACTTCAAGATCTTTGGAGCAAATCTGGTCAACAGAAGATAGATGCTATCATCTCTACCGATGGCGACAGCGATCGTCCACTTATTCTTGCTCCAGAGGGTGATAAGCTTCGATTTTTTGGTGGTGATATTTTGGGCATGATCGTTGCAGAGTTTCTCAACATCGACTCGGCTGTCGTCCCGATCAGCAGCAACGATGCGATAGATCGCGGACCATTAGCTGCTGTCACCGAGCCGAAGACCAAGATCGGAAGTCCCTACGTGATTTCTGGCATGCAACGCGCCATCTCCAAGGGTCGCAGCCGTGTCTGTGGATGGGAAGCCAACGGTGGCTTCCTGACAGGTTGCGACCTCGAACGCAATGGAAACGTGCTGACCGCCCTCCCAACCCGCGATGCTTTTCTACCTCTCCTGTGCGCCCTGTTCGCAGCGAAGAATCGCAAGATAACACTACCAGAGCTTTTCGATACGCTCCCTCGTCGGTTCAGCCGGGCCTCCCTCCTACGAAAATTCCCTCGAGCCACAGCGTTGAAGATCATCCAGAAGTTCTCACCGTCCGATCCCAACATCCAGGACATTACCTACGCGTCAGACGGCGTTTCGGCTCGAGACTTTGAGCAAGCAACGCTTGAGGTCAAAGATCCCGAGAAGTTTCAACAGATTCGCAGTGGGCTACAGACCGTCCTCTCCACAGAGTTTGGATTCACCGAGATCACTCGGATTATCTACACCGACGGGGTGCGCATCCTTTTCAGCAATGGCGATGTTGCCCACGTCCGTCCATCTGGGAACGCGGATGAGCTGCGTATCTACTCCGTTGCTGATACGCAGGAGCGTGCCGATTTCATTGCCAGCCAGGGAGTTGCTGAGCCAGATGGTTTTCTCAGACGCCTAGAGCGCATGGTGTGATGCAATGGAATCTCTTTGACTTGGACCTCTCTACATTATCATGTAGATTCGCTCCTCTCCATAGGCAGGCCTATATGAGAGCAGGTCGTACAGTTAGTTCACAGCTGCATTCGTAGGCTTAGCGGAGAGCAACCTTCGAGCTTGTCTTCCCGATAATGCAGAACAAACCCAAGCTCCCCAAATATAAATTAAACTCCCAATGTATGTTGCTTCTGCATACCTCGCAGGTTCTCAAGTGCGACGATCCGGTAGGTAGTAGCAGACCGTCTTTTCCATTTCCCGACACTCAAGTCCCACCAGCAAGCCCGCCTCTTCCCCAACACCAAACCCAGCACCCTTCCCTTATTTAGCGTTCCGAAATTTCCGAAAATCCATCCCGAATATCCTCTCCCCCTCACCCAGCCGCACCGACTTTCCCAACTTCAGCAAGCTAGACTTCGCCATCAGTCTCATCATCTCTCTCCCATACCTCCCGGTGCGATCTCGCAAGTCCCGCATCACCTACTGGATACAGAATTTAGAAGCGGGGAAGGCAGAAACATGGGAAGTGGAAGTTGACGAAGGATCTATTGTTGGTCTATGTAATTTTTTTCCCCCCTCAAAACGATAACAATCCGGTGGTGTGCTGGGGAGATTTACGAGTTATGTGAGAGGGATAGTCTGGTCAGAGGAGGGGGGGGGAGGTGGGGGGGGCTGGGTGCAAGTGTACCCGACTAGACGGATTTGGGAGTATATGGAGAGGGAGGGGGGGATGTCTTCGATGTGATTCGGGTGGGGGGTCACGATGCGGAAAGGTGGCTGGGGAGTTGATGGGAGATTGGTTCTGCGCAGTCAGCTGTTGAACACTGCTTGCGGATATCTGGATGAGGTCCGTAGCGTATGGGGAGTATCAACGAGGCCAGCCTGCTTGAAGCGGCTGATGAGAATTTTTTTGAGAAGCTCGCTATTGTTGAAGCCCAGTAAATTTTGTTCGCCTGCCGCGTCGAACCAGGATTTGTACAACAGTGGCTTTTTAGAGCCACTTCACATCAGGTATCGCCTAACGAGCTGCCATCTTTCTTCTCCTTAGTTTTCGCGTCGCCCTCCTCTATCCACGTCTCGACTCGACCCTGTTTTGGGTCTTCGTCAGGGTACCCCAAGCTCCTTCTGACCTTTAAGACCTCCATACGTACTTTCATGGTAACTTCTTTCCGCAGCGCAACAGCCTCGGTCCCATACTTCAGCCATTCAGTCAGCTCTCCCATCTCCCAATTGGTCTCGAGGCCTTTCTGAGCCAAGGCCTCTTTCTGCATTGCGACCAGCTTCTTCCAACGCTCCCTCAATTCCCCAAATACTTTCTCGCCATCTATGCTTTCCCCAAATGCAATTCTAATGTTTTTTCCAGCTCTTGGAATGAATTCAGGGAATCCTCGAGATTCGTGCATGACTTCCTGGTTTCCGTCGATGAAGATAGGAACGATCTCAGGCAGTGGTTCAGACTCGAGTATAAGGCGTGATATACCCCATTTGAAATATCGCATGGATTTTTTAGGGTGCTGATGTACCCGTCCTTCGGGAAAGATGTGGATCCAGGAGTGCTTGCGCGATAGGTATACGGAGGGAGCTGTAAACGAGTCCTCCCCATTCGTGGTATATGTGAGTGACCCTGTTGTGAAGGGGTCAGGCATACCCGGGTTCGAAGTATGGGATAACGGAGGCTTTGCGAATGGTTGGGAGGAGAGTAGTCGTATTGCCTGTGTCATGACAGGTTGGAAGAGACCACCGTGGGGGGAGTGCGCTCCTCGATGAGTTGGTAGAACTTGACCAAAGTTGAAGAAGCCAGTAAGTAACCTGTATATACTGATCAACGCCTAGGCTAGACAGATATCACTGAAAGAATGTCCTTACCTTCCCTGAAAACAAATATCGTAGCTTCCCAAACTCCAGCGGTGGTTCGAGGGATTGAAGCCGTAGCGAAAGGGCAGCACACCCCATATCAATGGATCGTCCATTCTACAGGTAACCCATAAGTATAAATCCAAAATATATACATATATAGATTCGGGTCTCAATCGAATCGACGTACACGCTGACATGATTTGAGACTAATAGCAGGTTTTTGTCAGCACTTCTTCAGCTAATGGCCCCGAGAGATGCTAACCAGTTATCAATCCTTCTATCCCTTCCCTGCACATCCCTCCTCCGATCCAGTGTCTCTAAGAACCTATCCAATCCAGTGACTTCCATGTAATTCAGCCCATAGTAGAAACCGCGCGACAGGGAAGCTGTCAGGCCCATGATGAGGGAGCTATTCAAGCGCCATGGCAGGCTGGGGCTCGAGGGCGACAAGGGATTGGGACTCGACATGTCGCCGGCGCGCGGTTGTCAATTGGCAATCATAGAATCCGGAATGTACGTACGGTCGGCCTTGAAATTAAGGAGAGTGCGGGCAACGTAAACATAGGTCCAAGCTGTTGTTACGAGGCCTCAGAGTGACGACGTACTGGAAATGAAAATTTGTCGGAAATAGGTCCCTCCGGAGCCCGACTTGGCGAATGCTAGCCTTCGACTTTTTTTAACGACATCCCGTACTGGAATCTTGACTAGAATTACTCCCTCGTTCACCAAAAACACATGTTCAATCGTTTCGTTCACGTAGAATCGCTCTGAATAAGATGCGGTGGTAAATTTGCAGTTAGATTAAAGTTGCAAACTGAACAGGACTACCAAATCGCCCCAAGACTGACTTCCAGAGCAGTATCACTGGCTCTGCTTTCGAAAGACCAGCAAACTAAACAACATCCTCGAAAAACGAATTTCATCAAGGTGATTGTGCTTGACGAGAAGGGAAACGAGCAACCAGCAAACCATTCACCCATCTAGTGACTGTCGTCAATCAATCTGCATCTCGTCAAGCCAAATTCTGCCCTTAAAAGGAACCATCTCTGCTCTCAGCAATATTTTCCTCCGCATAAAAAACTCTTCTCCCAACAGACTTGTAGTCTTTGGACCTCCTGCCTTCGAGGTTAGTGCTCGTCATCCCTCTCGATACTAGCTGCAAAGCCTTCTACCTCTTCTTACCACGGAGTATATACATACTCTCAGAGCTTCGCTTTGCTTGGAACTTTGTCTTATATCCCGCTATGCCTTGCCTTCTTTTGCTGGGAAACATTCTCTGCAATATCCCATCCAGACTATACTGACTCTCCTCAGAAGCCCAGTGCTACTTTACACTCTCAAGTCAGGAGGACGCGATACATTGTCGGCTCCAGACTTCATCATGGCTCACAGTGAGAAATTATCCTACCTGTTTCTCAGAACTGGATCATTCTGACTTAATATAGGCAAGCGCAACACATCCAGGGCGGTGTTCACTTCTCATGAACGTGAGATGGCCAAGAGTGCCTGGAACTCAACCTCCGCACGCCTGTCAAGAGACTCGTTCCTGCCATTTGCTTCATGCAAGTTGTGTCTTCAGCCAGCCGTATCTCCAGTATCTTGCCTCCATGGAGACATGTTCTGCAGAGAATGTGCCTTGAACAACATTCTGTCCCAGAAGAAAGAGATCAAGCGCCTTGAAAAAGCAAAAGGCAGGCAAGAAGAGGATGCAGAGGGAGACAGGGAAAGAGAGGATGCCGAGGCAAAGGCCAGAGCCGTGCAAGACTTTGAGAGAATCCAGATGGGACTGGAAGCCAAAACGAGAAGCAACATCTCCGATCAGAAGATTACTGGCAGAGAAATTAGCAAGATCTTTGTGGATGAGGACGTTGTAGGTGGAAAGAAAGGCGGGAAGCGGAAGTTTGAGTTGGATGAGGATGAGCTCCTCCGAATTGCTAGGGAAGAGAGATCAAAGGCAAGAAAGGCCATCGATGATGAGAAGGTATGTTGTGATCCCATAGTGACCTCTACCTGCTGACAAGGAGACGAAAGGCTTCAAAGACAACTCTGCCCTCCTTCTGGGTCCCTTCCATCACCCCTTCGTCCAATACCGGCACGACCTTGCACGCTGTTGTGAAGAAGGCCAAATTATCTCCTGTGTGTCCGGCTTCCCCAGCTGATAAGCCGCATAACTACTCACTGCACACTCTTGTGGAAGTTAATTTCACTGAGGAGAAAGAAGCCGCTACGAAAACGAGTCGGCCGATTTGCCCATCATGCAAGAAGGCTTTGAGTAATACTTCCAAGGCAATGCTAGCCAAGCCCTGTGGACATGTCTTGTGCAAGAACTGCGTGTCTAAGTTCATGACACCAGCCGGCGTCCATGATCCTCATGCGCCAGGCGTTGACCAGAACGCAGTAGCTTGCTATGTCTGCGAGGCTGACCTGACGGAGAAGAAGTGCAAGGCTGAAAAGGGGGCTCTCGAGCCTAAGCTCAAAGCAGAGAAGGAGAAGATCAGGCCGGGACTTGTAGAGATCAAGTGCGAAGGCACAGGGTTTGCTGGAGGAGGAAAGGCCATCGTCCAATCAGAAGGCGTCTCCTTCCAGTGCTAGCCCAATCAGTCGGAGTGATCCCGTTTTGGACGCACGGCCGGGAAAGTACAAATGAAGGACCTCGATATTGAAAACGCGTCCTTCCTAAACACCATCCTTTCATCTCAATTCACATTCAAAGCATCGAAATTGCAGCCATGTATCCAGATCCAGATCGAGATCCATGGTCTGCCGAATTGTGGTCTGTTGATGGCAGAGACACTACTCTCGATGGTACGCACCCTAGTTTTTCTTCCGAGGTTGAGGTCATGCTAAAAATTCCAGATCAAACTCCCAGCTTCGGATTACTCCATAAGCTTAAGCCCAATTGCATACTCAAGATCTTTGAATACGTCTACGAGAAGGTCAATGACCTTGATCTGGAAAAGGTCATCAAGAAAGCCGGTATCACCAGTCCGGTCACGGCAATTGTTGACATCGGATGCAACGATTCACCTTTGTTTGTTTCCAAGCAGTTCCATTGCGCGTCGCTCCGGGTAAGATAGTTCACTTCCTTCTTCTTGGCCTAGGAACTCAACCTCCTCACAGGCTATGAAGACCATGACAGCTCCTATCCGTGGTACTATAGATGACAATATTTTCCACCTGATGTTGAAGGCCGAGGGTGCTTCTTACCCGTTCTTCACTATCCACATCAGTGGTACCTGGTATGTTTTGATCCGACGCGCTCCCTACGCGTTTTGGTGACTCTTGCTAACAAAATCCAGTCTCAACCGCATCAGCTGGGATGCCGCCGCTCATGTCCATCTTCTCTACAACAGAGGGTGCACAATCAGCTTTGCCGCAATCTCCGAAACCTCCGTGAAGCATACCCCGAAAGCCCGTCGCCCCATGGAGATAACCGGATACCATAAGGCTCTTCTTGTTCTGCCCTCCTACCGCCTATTCAACGCCTATTATGTCATCAACCACGGCCACACGATTTCCATCGGCGTCTGGGATGATGCTCCAGCCTTCTGTCACTTGCTCGACGCCGCTAACAGGGAGCCAAAACCTCAGGGCTGCCTCTGTCCTGACCATTGCGACTGCCACTACGGTGTACTTTCAACCCAGAAGATTGTCCTGCGAGCTGACTGGAAGACTTCTCCTTATCTGTGGACCCCTGATGTTGACGAAATGGTACATAAGCCGGTATGGCACGATAATGGTTTCTGCTCCGAAAGTTGGTTGTTTGGGAGTCTATGACGGATCTGGGTTCTCAGCATTGGAGTTTATCTCGGTTTGGTGTTAGAATAGGGAGAATAGGAATGATACCCAATGAAATTCACGTCTTCCGCGCTCTGCCTTTAAATTCTTAATCCGTCCCCTCAACCTTCTTGTAAATTTACATTCTGCAAGTCCGCACAAGGGTCCTGGCCGTGTTTGTTTCTCTCTTGCGGGCTCATCAGCATGATCGATTCACATTACCCAAATCTTATTCACCACCTCAACGAGCTCTTATCGTGATATTGACTGTATCCTTGATCAAGATCAAGGTCGACGACTACTACTCCATCGCCAAGTAGTTCCTCGAGCTATTTTCTATAGGTTTATGCCAAGCAACAGGAAAGTTTCTTTCCGAGATGGTTGGCGGTTGTAATGCTAGCTGGGAGCGAAGCTGCGAGTTGGATTTTTGGAGAGAGCGGGGATGGTTGGATGGGTTGGATGGATGGATGGACAGGCCAGTCCAGTCAAAACGGTTATATCTGGACGATCGGGTATTTGGTCAATGATATTGCTGTTTACAAACAATCGATGGGAGGCCGGTGGGAAGCAGACTCGCAGCTCAAATACCATAGAGAACTCACGTTCCTCAATTATGGTGTTGAGGCGTCAGGACAAAATGGCAATCGCGCTTTCTTCTGTGTAGTATATACCATTCGTGTAGGCAGTCTATCTAAAGCTTTTTAATATAGTATTCTAGATCTAAGAATGTTCGAAATTCTGATATGGGATGATGCAGGCAAGCACTCACACGGTAGCAATGCTACCTTCCAACCAGCGGGTTCAGGACCTTCGCCACCGCTTCTGCAGTCGTAAACAAAATGCCTACACATAACGTCAGCTTTCAAATTGCTGTTTTCTTCAAGCGCCACGATACCGGTGACGGGCCTCCCGTTAGAAGTCTCAAGCTGAATTCGAGAGCAATAAGAAAAGTTAAAGCAATGGAAATCGGACTCACCACCACTAAGTACAGTCCGACTCAGCCTCATCACCGTCCCTTTCCAGAAGCCCCTCACTCCCGCCTCCTTCCACACGCCCGTGATAGCCTGCACCGTCGTCGTGACTTTCGCACTCTGACTCCTATCCACCCAACCATCAGCACCTGTTCCCTTACCCTCCCTCCTCTCCCGTCCCAAACACCCTCGCTAAGCACAGAGACAACATCTCAAGACTCACCTCGTCTTGATCGTATCAAACGGCTGACTCAGGAGCGTCGTGACCACACCCGCCACGGCACCATTCGCGAAATTCACCGCCGTGTTCTGCGCCACACCCCTCCTGACCTCGAGATCCTTGATGATGTTGTAGCTCCCCATCCGGAGACTCGTCGCGCTCGCCTGCTTCATCGTCGTGCCGGCGAAGCCCCGATACAGGCCCATGAGCCCGTCCTCGCGCAGGATAGTCCGCACGGCGTGGCCCGTGGACGCGTACCTCCTCGCCGCCCGCGCGTCGTCGATCAGCGCCGTCTTGACGCGCTCCGTCGGCGTGACCGCGAAGATGCTCGCCAGCACGCCGGCCGACATGCCCGCCAGCATGGTCCGCAGCGGCGTCAGGGTCCCGTCCTCCTGCTTGAACGCGTTCTTCACCGTGTCGAAGCTCAGGAACCGGACCGCGTCCTTGCCGACGCTGCCGAGCACCAGGATCCCGCACCCCTTGTACAGCGCACGCAGGCCCTCGGCCTTGTAGATCTGGCTGATGAGCAGGTACGGGTTCCGGGACGGCTTCTTGGTGATGGGCGAGATTGGGAGCTGCTGCGAGAGCTGGGAGCGGGTCTTGGCGAACTCGAATCTGCGGATAGTGGTTAATGATAATAATACAAAAGTTGGAAATTCCTGTCTTCGGGGATCTTCATGAGTATCTAGTAGGACATTGCACAACTGACGGGTAAGTGAGGAAACCTTCCACGCCGCCGGCCACGCCACCCGAGACGATGGACACAATCGGCGGTATGTCTTTCGCGACCATACCCAAGAACTGAATTTACGAAAAGAATTATATATCACGTCTCGAATTGGTCGTGGGATAGTGAGGCTCTTCTCTGGGCTAAGGTAAACAGGTGTGGATGACGTAAGGTTTTTCGGCTACGTTCAGGTACTAATCAATTAACTTTCATTTGTATTTCTTGAGGACCATATTAATCTTTTTAGAACTCGAGATTGACGAAAAGGCATTACTGATTAACAATGTTTGTTCCTATTCATAACGGTGCTTATCGTGAACGCCAGTTAAAATGATATTCTCCAAATTTCTCCAAACCCAGATCAAGGCCCCCCAAAAAAACCTGGCCTTAGCTTCACAGCCGTTCCTCATAAGCCTCATAAGCAGCCTCAATTCCAAATCCATGGCTCCCATAAAAACAGTTACAACGAAGTCAGCCAGTCAGCCAAATCTCATGTACTTTTGGTATCCCCAAGCCAGCTAATAGTCCAAAGGAACCGTCATCCCGAATTTCAACTTCTGCATTATCACAAACCAGCCCGTTATTTCTGTTATCAGCTCCCTTGCTCAGTTCAACACCATCACTCCTCATGCTTGATCTTCTTCACCTCCGCCGGCTTCAAGGTATGCCCTACCTCTTCGATCTTCCCACCTAGCATCTCCTGCGCATTACCCAGTAGGTTCCCAGCCTCTTTACTCATGAAATCATTCGCTGTCTTCGCCGCCTCTGTAGCATTATTCCCTGCAACTGCAGCTCGCTCGTTCGCGAAACCTACCGTCTGAGAAACATTCTCGTACCCCTGCTTCAGCATGGCACTCCCCTTCTCCTGAACACCAGTAGCATACTGACCAGCCTTCTCTCCCGCATCCTGGACAGCATCTCCGGCTTGATGCACCAAGTTCGAAGGGCTTGGGAATCTATTCAGCGACTTGAGAATCAGGAAGTAGGTTTGGATGATTAGCTTGTGAATCGCTTCCTTGATCGTCATCGTAATCCCGTTGCTCAAGAATCCCTTGAAGATCTCGCCCCATACACCTTCGTACAGAGCAGCCGCTCCTTCGTTGCGGTAGATGTTGAGCACGATGTGGAAAATCGTGCTGTTTTTAGCCAGGTTCTTGGCGTTCTTGCCAGCTTTTTCGGCATCAGTTCTGCTACGCGACTTCTTGACTTCCTCCATGACAATTTCGGCGTTTTCCTTGTCGACAGGTGGTTTTGAGGAGGCTTGAGCGCGGGATTTAGCGAGGGCGAAGGGGTAGGTTATTCCTGAAGCAATGGCTTTGCTAAATGCTGCCATGAGGAAGGTAATTGTCGTTCCGGGGTCATCGCGCTTGGAGCGTGGGAGGAGAGTGCGCTTGAAGGTTTCGTAGAGGAAGAATGTAATACTTGGGTTGAGCGTCAGAACGAGTTGGGCGGAGTAGCCGGACCAGAAGCCTTGCAGTCCTTTCTCAGAGCGAATTTTGGAGACGATTTCGGCAACGCTAGGTGCAGGGCTGGTTGAGGATGACCGAGCTGCTAACATGGAAGCGGTTTGCTTTCGTGTCACTATGTTTGACATTGGGGCGGTGAAGAGCTTAGAGAGTGCACCTGCAAGAACGCCGACTCCCAGCTCATCGAGAGCTGGCAGGGTGGTATGGTGTCCTGTACTTTGAAGTCGATTCGTGCGGAGATAGTTGTAGAAGAGGAAGAAGAGGAATGAATCGGCAATTGATTTCCCCGTGTCTTGCAGCACCCCGGAATAGAATGCAGTCAAGCCACCCTCCTTATTGTAGATCTGCTCAAAGGCGTCGAAGACTCCCTTATATTCTCCTTCATGGGCAATAGTTGAAGATTCCCGGAGAGAACGCTGGACCTGTAGACGAGTTATGATGAGGTCCAAAGGGTAGAGTGCGAGATTGGAGATCGCAGTGCCGGTTGAACCAGCCAGGGCATGGCCCAGGGCTGGAAGAGCTGGGCCATCCAGCGGAGAAGAAGAGGGTTCGTGGACTTTGTGGTAGAGGGAGAAGGCGTCCTACCGAGGTCAGTATCTACGAAAAGTAACACGGGTTGCTTCTCATCTCCAAAACAGAGTATTGAGTCTTGGAGAGCTGAGGAGAGCAAAGCTCGGAGGGAGAGACGGTTACAAGTTGATTGTTGTAGTTGAAGTTTGACATCCTGTCGTATCTGGGGATTTGTAAGATCGAGCGGAGAATGAGGTCTGTGGAGGAGGGGGAGGAGGAGGAGGAGAGCGGACCTCAATGAGGTGGTAGGTAGATAGATAGGTCCCTTGGTTGATGATAGTTAATAGAAAATAGACAACAGACACGAGGTGAGAGGGGCGGGCAGTTCAATGCTTCTTCTACCCAGCTTGATGCATGTACGTCATTGCAAATCCGGAGTAAGTACGCCCCGCATCAATACAGTCAGCCAATAAACGTCGGCCGAGCATCTGAAAATACCGGCTCACCTCGGCAGCCGAGGACAACGTAAACATCCACGTTGGAGGCGGATGTCAATTGCTCGAGTCAACTCTCCCGAGCAGGAGTATTCCAAGGAAAAGCTCATTTCGAAAGTGGTATCTATCTCGTCTGCGCTGGCAGATACTGGTGATTACACCAACCATTCGTAAACTCCTGTCGCGCTCAGCAACACAACCCGAATCACTATTACCACCCTACCAACTCCACTCACTCATGAGAATTTACCCATGATCGTCCCATGTTGGAATCCTCAGCTCTCATCTATCTTGTTGATCTCTGCCTTAGCTTCTTCCCATGTCTCCTTGTTCTTCTTCGCCCACTCGATCTGACTATTGGCGTACGCAAGCTGCAAATATTAGCTTGGCATAGAACAGATACTGACAAGTCTTACCATGTACCGCCTCAAGTCATCCTCCTTCTCCGCCTGGAATCGCTTCAGGTCTTTCAAGATACCCGCACTGGCATTACGGACATCCTGCTCCGAAGCTTTCTGTGCTTGTATCAAATGCTCAATCGACTCCCTCGTCTTCCCAATCTGATCTCTTCTCGTGCGTTCGGGATCGACATCGACGACTCCATGCACGGCATGGCTGATGCGGCCAAATATCTTGTTGGTGATAAAATTGCCACTGGAGCTCTTTCGATGTGTAGGAGCAGTGTGCTCTTCGGGCGCGCCTTGGGTTGCTGACGGCGGACTGTGGCCATCACCATGGGTGGGAGGAAAGTCGGAATCTATAGATGCGGTATCTTCTTGATTGTTTTCTCGCCTTGTACTTAGCGGATCCCTGTTTCTCGCAGACGAATTCGACCTACGTGGTATATTTGCCGTACCGCTGCTGCTCAAATACTGCTCGATTCTCTTGGCTTCCGTCTCACTTCGCTCCAATGATTCCAGTAGTGCTCTCTTCTTCGCCAGTTCATCGTTCGTCATTTCTTGCTGCACACGTTTCAGTACCCGGTAGCGCAGAACTGTCCGAACAACACCGGCGAACTGTGCACTTTCCCTCATCGGCTCGGCAAAGCTAGCCCCCAAAGAACCGGAAAGCTCCTCTGTTGCCAAATAAGATGAATCAACTGCCTGGCCCACTCTTTCAATAGCGGCTGCCAGAGACGGCGATGATTCTGAGAGCGAGAATCCATTAAATCTGGCACCAAGCTCTGCCAAGTCTGAGGCCAGGGATGAGAGATGTTGTAGAGTTCGTCTGTTCACTCGCTCGATGGGCCCTGTAAGAATTGTTTCGAGCTCCTTTATAGAAGCCTCAAAATGAATAAAGTATGGGTCGAGTTGTTGCTCGCTGAGGTGTTGGCAGTCGGGCGGGAAACGGGAGAATATTTGGGTGCCAGGGACAGTATGGGCCGCAGCTGACGGGCTCGCAGCGTACTCTGTCGGCTGGTTCAGCATACCTTGGGCATTGGTCGAAGAAGAAGAGGCTGCTCTCAGTTTTGCAGACGCTGCTGGGATGGGAAGGAATTGATGAGCGGGGGAGGGGTTGGCGGGGTCGAGTGGTGGAGCTTTCATGTTGGACTTGGGGATGGATGCAATGGGATGGGAATGTAGCACCTCGTTCTGATAGCAGTCAGTAGACAACCTGGAGCGGAGCGTCAATACCAAGTGTCCGTACCCAGCTTGAATTTGGATCCAGGAACCTCCACCAAACCCCGTCGTTCCGGACCTCATCCATGCACCTACATCTGTTCAAGAACACCGCCAGCATACGCTTCCGTAAGTCAATTATTTGCTGATCTTGCTTCGCCTTGGTCGGGTTTGCGGCGTAGTCTGCCATAGTATGCTTCTCGGGAATCGGAGGCATGATCAGGGTAGGGTGTAGTCGGGTGAGGGCGTCTCGGAGGGATGCAAACTCGGAATATCTTCTTCTCACTTCGAGGTCCTGCCCAACATTAGCAAAAGCTTCCGGCTCTATATTTTCAACATACCCCGGTCCGGATAGTGTACACAATGTACTTCCCACCGCTTTCCGCACTCTTGCCAGCATCCACAATGAGAATTGGAAGGTCGGGATTCTCGTAGAGGATCTGCTCTATCCGGCTGTCATAACCACCCTTTTTGCGCTTTGGAGCTTCATGCGCAGACCCTCCATAGTCATCATCACTTCCGGCATCGCTGGTATCGTACTGATGTCTGCGAGGTACATCTGAATCGTGGATGGGGCTGTTGCTATCAGGAGTGCGCGGCCCACCGAAGCCATGTTCTGTATAGTCCCAGCCCCCGTCAGCTTGAAGTTCGCCGTCAATGAAAATGGATTCCATCATATTTGCAAACTGGTGAGATCAGACGGGAAGAAGTACTCACGGGAGCCTGGAGAGCTGGGGTTGGCCGCAGAGGAGCTTGAATCGCGGCGCTCGAAACTCGTGCCGTACGGGTTATTGTCCTCGTCATTCCACATCCTGCTCGATGCTGCTTCAGCTGCAGCTCACCGAAGCAATCAGACGGTTCGCTGAGTGTTATCTGTTGATGGTGCAGCGAGTGAAAAATTCATGGGTACCGATCGTCTTTTAGGGTAGAAGTGAGGGCATTCCCAGCCGCCTGATCGATGCACACCTGATGACGATGTCGGTGCCAAGACATGGTCCGGGTGGTGACTTCCTCAGCTCACTTCGTCTGACTATCATTATTGTTTTTCTGTATATCTTTTCAAAGGTTCAATGATAATACAAACACCTCTTTTCAATAATCCAGAAAATTAAAATCGGCTTGTCTATCGTCCAAACTGTTTTGTTCCTTTTATCCATATCTATGATCTTGTTCAGTCTAGCTACTAATAAAAGGTGGAATGATCTAGCTCTATATGTATGCTTGTCCAGCCTCACCTCGTCCAACCTCATCCTCGCAGATAACACTGCCAACGCTTAGCTGTGATGCTCATCTCTAATCAGGACCCAAGGCTGGCTACCCTAACACCTTGGTCGTCTTTATTGATATTTCCTATGATTTCTCATTTATTACAAGGAGATTCGGAGAGCATGATTGGAATTTTGACTTGGGGCTTTTATTCATCGAGAAAGGCGGAAACTCACACCCACTTGTTCCTGACTATAATTATCTTTGATTCTTTGTGGAATTTTTGTTCTGATTTTGTTCTGACTGTGTTTGAGAGCAAGCACCTTTCTCCCTGCCCTAGCATCTCTACCTAGAATCATAGAAGCAAAGCAGCATCTAATACAAGGTGCTCCTATAAAAGAGCGGAGACTGTCTTATCGAGAATGTCTATTCTTTATAGTCCAGCTCAGAAACGGATGCTTGCGCAGTAGAGAAGTAGATAGGGTATGAGTAGCTTAAAGCGCATTTAGTGCCAGTGACCGACAACGATGTCTTTTTATACTGCTGTCTAACTGTTAGCTTGTCTTTAATACATGCCCTCGGAGAACTTGCTTAGATGCCCTCTATTTTTCAAAATACCACCAGAACTTGAAGACGGGAATTTTGCTTGATGGGCATTCTATTCCGTGCTTCTTGTCGATATCCTCCCAGAACCCCCGCGTACTGCTTCCACAATATCAATGCATCTTCGTGGGCCTGGCGAATAGCAGTTTTGGCAACAGATAGTCTTGCGTTGGAGGAAAGCCCTCCACCGAGCGTCGTCCTTGTGTTCACCGTTATGGTCTCAAGCTTGCGGAATCGAGCAAGCATTTTAATATCCGTTGGCCTCAAGGTATTACAAAGGAACAAGTGGCGCAAGTTATTCTCAATATCGCTCCTCTCCAAGGGGTAGTAGTCGCCCTTCACGGGCATGCCATTCCCCGTGTTCGTGCGTCTTGGCCACAGCGGCTGAACAGTGACCAGTAGCATAAGAGTAGCTGTGTTTTTAAAGTGGACTGTGTCCCGATTAAGATTGACGTACACTGGCTTGTCGGCGAGCTGAAAGCCAAGGTTGAGGGTTAAATGCTTCAAGGCAACTCTCCGAGCTTCGTGGCTGGTCAGTAACAGTGCTGGTATGTTCTTCGAAGTCTCAGGGTGCTTGACAGACTCGCCAGTCTCATCTCTATCCAAAGAACCAGCATCGGAGACGTGGCTATCGGGATTTGGAGCAACAACCTCAGACTTTTCAATAGGCTTGTACTTCTTATCGGAAAGATAGATGGGGCGTTCCTCGGGCAGTGCGAAGCCCCATATCATATATCTCAGCTCGATGGGAAGTCTTGGGAAGGGATCGAACTGGCTGAGATACGTGGGCTCGAGGCTGGCAAACGTTGGGAAATCTTTGGAATAGCTGAGGTAGTGGAGCTCGGGGCTGATAGAAGTAGAAGTGACCAAGTTGTCGTTCCTATACACCATAATGGCCTTGGCGTAGTCCAAAGTATCTCTTGGTATGAGATGCGGATATTCAGCGATCTCAAATATCCTTGAACACCATTATCCATAATCACCCGGCCATCCCGATCTGAGATGTAGATACGCTGCGAAACTGTTAGCAAACAAAATTCCTTGTTATCGGTCTCAGCTCACGGATCTCCGTGCTACATACCAAAGCCATATCGGCGACGTAACAGTAGTAATAGTAAAGATTACTACAATCTGAGGCTTGTTGACCTTCAAAGATAGGGTTTATCGAGGTTTCTTTAAAGTTGATCGCGGTCGGGGCGAGGAATATTCACATTAAATGATTTGGGTGCTTCGACTAGCGCGTAAATTCAACGTCCACGTGATGCATCTGCGCTGAATCACTACGATTGCTTCATTGAATATGTTATTCTAACACTGTTCAGACCGCTGTAAGTAGTAAGCAGCACTTTCTTCTGTCCCCAGAGCAAGGCATAGACATTAATCTTAGTTTAAAGTACCAAATCATCTTAGAGCCAGCCCACAATCGTGACATCTATCTGCACAGAGAGAAGATCAGAAACAGAAAGAAGGAACAATCTAGGTGAAACTGAACTGTTCAATTTTTGAAAGAGGAGCAGATATACTTAACCATGCCGCCGTCACTGAATTAGCGAGAGGATGTAGCTACAATTTCTTTCGGGTGTTCCCAGAGCGGAGCACCCAAATATGAGATCAATAATCTATTGCAATGCAGTAAAGAAGTAGTGGAAGACTTAGATCGCTGACTTATTTTGATCAGAAAACCTCAAGCCGCAACAAGGCTTAAGACAAGACATCAATCCGAATACTTTTGAAACTTCGCCTCACTCCCCCCAAATGACTCATATTTACGCGGGCTACGACTGATCACAGCGCTCTTGGAACAAGAATGTTGATACCAGCGGCTTTGTTTCGTATACGTTGCAGCCCGATTAACCCGCATTCCATGAAAACATAATTAAGTATACATCTCGCGCCAGCTTTCATATATTCTACTTACTGGCCGGCGCTGCTTGCATACTCGCTCCAAGTCTCTTCAGAGTGCCGAAACTCAAGGATACTAACTTAACTGGACCATAAGGAACACCACGCCTCTGATCGATCCCGGTCCACAGTCTCTTCATGCTACTCAAAAGGCTCTGGATCTTGATATTCCTGAAGAGCTTAGACACAGTACCGCCCAATTCAGATTTTCTTCTTTTCAGAGGTAATCTCTCGAAAGCTTACGCCATAATCTTGCGCTCTCGCTTGCTCCAGCCAATGCTTGGATTGGGTAGATGAAGAATAGTTAACTGAAGGAGGAGTTATAGAGGTGGCGACCGGAAGGATTCCGAATATATTCTTACAACGAGAGCGTTCTGGCATCTGGGAAGCATCTCGTGTGGTGGGAGATCCGAGACCAATTGAAAAGCAAAGAAATCATCCTACGGGAGGACCCGCGGCAGTCGAGCTCTTGTAACAAACACACATTGAAAGAGGATAGTTCAAGCAGATTACATCTCAGATTTGCTGGCCATCTTGTGCGTTTTGATACTCAAATATATAAATATATATTACGACAGCTCCATCGCTCAGAAGATCGGCAGCAACGAACTCCAACAATTGAAGGTTTTGATCGGTAGAGCGCTGGGTAGTCCGTGAGACTGCAGCTGCAGAAAACAGATGCAGATCTGAAAAACAATAGAGAGTTTTAATCTCGAAAGTCTCTATACGTGGTACAGGATTAAAGTGATTGCAGTATGTCGAAAATGATCGGCCTTGGCGACGCGACTTGGCGCACCTTCCGAAAAACGATACTTCATATGCCACAAAGCCAAGCGCGGACATCTCGCAGTAGTTTATCTCGCATATATCAAGTGGGACGCGAGAGAGGTTTGTACGCTCGGAATGTTGTAATTCCAGATGTGGTAGCCACCTCATCAAATGCACCCTTCCGCAGGCAGGTCAGTACCTAATAATCACGAGGAGAAGAATTCGTGTACGCATTGAAAGTTTATGACATAGGTATTCGAAAGCCAAGCATTAAATTCGCACGTTTTCTAGCTACAAAACACTCTCTCTACTTTGCTATTGACGGATCTCCATGCTCTCTCGTGACGCCCGGTGACCCCAGCCTAGCCATACCTATGCATTCATCTCGAATTCACAGGATGCTGATGGCGTGGTCCGAATCCGGGGGGGTAGGAGGCTTCAAGAGCGTAGGAATGTGTCTCAGCTTATGCTCTAGGCCCGGCCCCAATGGACTAGGCGTCTTCACCGGCTGGTGATGATGGAAGGCCATATTCTTCGGCACTGGCTCCTTATACCCAACGGACACCCGAGACCCCCTCGACAACGATGACGTGTCTCCATCACGCGCATAATCGACATATCCATCATCATCAGCGCCATCGAATCCATGCCTCCCGCTTCTTCGTCTCTCGTGATCTCTGGTCGACTGTCTGCGTCTTGGCGGTGGAGAGGGCGATGGCGATAGGGTGCTTCCGGGCTCGGGAGCTGTGCTACTGAATGGTTCTCGGGCTGGGCTGTATGTTGGTGGACGGATGGACCGGGTTCGTTTCCCATCCCTCTCTTCGCGGTTAGAGTCTCGTCTGCGTGTCGAGTCGTATGCTCGGTCGGAGGATTTGGAGCGCGTAGCGTTGTCGTGTCTGCGGAAGCTCATGGGGATTTTCTTATGATGCTTGTCGAACTGCTCTTCGGCCAGCCTATCCCAGAGTCATCAATATACATACATCTCTTGTCATGCATGGGAGGCACGGAAATCAACCTACTGCTTCAATTTCCCTTTCCCTTTGCGCTTCTCCTCTGGAATAAACTGCTCCCACCCTCCATCGGGCTCGGCGTACGTGTGAACAAGGCCAAACACCAAGGGAAGCAGAGGGAGGTATTTGTGCCAGCCTCCACTTTCTGACTTTCGCGGCTCCTTCTTCTTGTCCTTCGAGCGTTCTTGGGGTCGTGGTGAGACGCTTCTTGGACGACGCCGTTCGCGGTCTCGACGTGAGGACTCTATTTCTAGGCTTCCATCTCTGCTAAGACTTCGCACTCGTCGCGGGCTGTGATCTCTTCTGACTTCGAATTCGTCCTCATCTCGAGCGTCATAGCTGCGCCGCCTTCTTCTATCCTCAATATCATCTTCATCTTCCCGTCCTCTTCTGACTCTGACGCCCCCTCTTCCCATTCCTCGATCCTCTCTATCTCTGCGACTCTGACTTCTTCGTTGGCCCTCGATATCATCCTCGTCTTTGACTCGTCTACTTTGTTTCCTCCTCGGCCTACGGATCTCTTTGCTGGAATCCTCTTCATTCTCTGGTCCCCGACCACTTCTCATAGCAGCCGGTCTGGAAGTTTTCGCTTCTTGACTCCCTCTAGTAGCTCTAACACTGTCTCGCCTACTCCACGCAGCAGCAGCTCCCACCCGTCCAATCCCAGCAGCAGCTACCCCAGCGCCAGAATAGCGCCCCGAAGTACGCGGTAGATCCGTGTCTGGCGGCCGAACGATGTCCGGAAGTGTGCTCATATCACTACTACAGATCGACTCGTAGCTATCCGGAAGAACAGCGGCCGATGGCAGCCCAGAAGTCGCTCCACTCCGCGGCATTTCACTTTGGGGCCTCTCGCTCTGCGGCCTCACAACCCTGTAAGAAGCCACGTTCGGAATCTGTACTGCTGGATTTGAAGCCACGACTCGAACCCCCTCCGACCTTCCCCCGGAAGCAAGCGGCGGGCCCGCACTCACGCTTCGCGATCTTCGCCGCTTAGGCGTTCTAATCCTGGAGTGAATTTTGATATTTGTCTGCCGACGTCCAGATTCGAGATCAGGTGGCGGTGGTCTGCCGACTGTGATGCGGATTTTCTTGATGCGCGGACGCCAGAAAAAGAACCACCAAAGAAGAATAGCAACCAAGAGAGCGCCAACGCCGATGGCAGTTCCGACGAGTGCTTTTTTGCTGATGCTCCAGCAGCTCCAGCCCGGACAGCCAGCTGCTGCTGCTGTTGTGGCACTTGTGTTTGTAGCTTGAGGCGGGGGTGTTTGCGAAAGTGTTCGGGTAGCTATAGGTACGCTGTTGGGACCAACCGCTATGCCTACAACGTCTGTAAGGACGAGGACGGGCAAAACAGTAGGCTTGTGTGTTGCGACCAAGTTTGGCTGCGAAGAAACCGTTGTAAATTGCAACGGCAGAGTATTCGGCGGCGGGTAGAGGATTGTGAAAGACGCTTGACCGTAAGATAGTGAGATTGTGGTACTCGTAAAGGTTGTAGTCGTTGCTCCGTAAGTGGGCAGCGCCACCTTCATATTTGTAGCCATTCCATAGACAAGATGCAACTGACACTGGCAATGTCATGCACGGAGTTATGCGTCTCTCAACGCATGTTGTGCTGCAGGATGCCGCGATCGAATGTGAGAGCTCGAATCTAGTGGTACGGGAAGTGGTCGAGATCGATCTTAAAGTCGGGGATCAAGGCTTCTTTTCCGTCGTGTAGGGATTCGAACCTGGGCTCTAGGATGTTGGACGGAGGGCGGAGGGTGGCATATGACGATCACCTTATTACACGATAAACTGACACAATACGTGGCTGCCGTTTGTGATGGGGGAGGCGGTGAGTTAGGTGTCTTTGTTGTCTTTTCAAGGGAGCTTGCATTGTAATGTGATACGGGGGAGCGGTCACGGTTTTAGGGAGGGGGACGCGAAGAGCAAACGTCGTCGGCTTCATTTTCTCACGGTGCGCGGCAACCCGGAGGAATCAGGCGGGATCAAGTCAATAATTTTTTTTGGTAATTCTATGGCGTGACAACGTCTGGTATAGGACGATCAGTATACAGAGGCTTTATGGTAGGAAGAGCCTTGCCTGTCCACTCCCCATTGATAATCTTCTTCCGCAGCTGCTCATTCCGAAACTTGAGGCAGTCTATCCTCCATACCATTTCCAAGCCCTTCTAACACAGCCTTCCTGGCCCCTAGTTTGAATGTTGGCTACCAAGACAGCGAGAGAAGACCGCAGACATTGTATTCGAAGAATCCGCTCGAGAAGATATCTAAGAGACATTGGAAACAGTGCTGCCCAAATCCCGAACATGAATTTGAGGTCTTAGTTTCGTAGCTTTGACATTTGCAGGCTGGGTAGTTTCGACATTTGTAGGCTGGGTAGCTTCGATATTGGCAGGCTGGGCAGCTTCGGTATTTGCAGGCCGGGCAGCCTCCTCGTCCGTATTTGCGCGGCGGGCGGATCTATTGGCGGCTCTGTTGGAGGCTCTCTCGGCGCGTCGCGCTTCGGCGAATACGTACGCTTCTTGGTTGTTGGCCCTGGGGTGCGTTAGCTCGCCTGCAGATTCTTTCGAGTGGAACCTGTGACTATTGGGATTGCCGTACATGTACGAAGCCTGGAGAAGACGTCAGTAGTGTCTACAACAAGAGACTCTGAATATACTTACAAAATGCAAGACCATGAATTTGTTAAGGAAGACAAAGACCAGTGTGAGAAGGAGGAGAATGAGGAAAATGATCACAATGGTGACATAGTTATCCATAATCGCAGTTGTATGCCTGATATTTGTTAGATCATCTGGGAATTATATATTCTGTGCGCGGATACATACGCTGATCGAGACAAGCAAAGTGGTGAGTGGGTGTATTTGTTCTGTCTGAACGTTGAACGTAGAAGAGGGAGCCGTCGAACAACTTGAATTGCCGTGAAAGTACCTAGAGACTTTGCTTATTGACTTGCGACCGCGTATGAGGTTGCTACTTCGAAGTAGACGGAGACTTGGGACTTTTGACCGGAATTAATTCGTTGACGAGGGTGATATTAGTGGCTCGGATAATCTTCGGGTCTAGCGATTTCCTTTCTAGTAGCGTCTGTAAGAGGACTGGATGCAGCTTGGAATCGACAGCGATCTTGGTGAATTTTTCAAGATTTTCAATGGTCTCAGCTAGTGCCTCTGGAGGTATGGTTCCCGATTTTTCAGCATTTGAATGAATATCATCCTCTTTGGCTAAGACATTATCATCCAGATAGTCCAGGATCGTATTGGTGCATTTGATAGTCCGAAACAGGACAGCAAAGACCTCGGGCTTCGATGTCCAGCCTATGGCTCCGTCCATCTGCGCAGATTTTTTAAGCAAGTTGACTGAATCTGCAACCCATGTGAGAAGGTTCTGTACTAAGGCGTTGCTGAAAGCATTTGCCTCATTGTTTCCAAACGTTTCTAACGGAAATCGTCGGAAGATATCACACCAGATGGTAGCATCTTGCACCTCATCGGCCCAAAGGTTCTGCTTCTCCTCAGTGAACAGTTTGTTATCCCCTTGAGACGCTGCCTCGAGTTGTGTAGCTGCCGCTTCAAGCTTGACCCCACCCAGGCCATTTCCCAGTTGATCGATAGAGGTACCAGTCATTCGGCATACGACGTAAGATGCAAAGCCCTTCCCGTGTTGAGTGAGCATGTGTTCGGTCAAAGCATTGGTAGCTGCCTGAGGAACCATCGATTTGCCCAGCATAACGGACACAGCTTTCGCTCCCAAACATCTGACGTCCGAATCATCGTCTTCCAAAACATTGTAAAGAGCGAACATAGATGGGAAGAGGCTGTCGGCCGATGGGATGCCGGACCCCTGATATTTGCAAAAATGGTACAAATGGGTGTAAAAGGTTGAAACTGCGTAGGCAGCTGCAAATCGGGTGTCGAAGTCCTTTGCTGTTAGCAATGATACTCGGGTTATTGAAATTTCTACCTACTTGATTGTCCTTTCCTAAGAATATCCAGACCTGGGACCAAGACATCAGTTCCGGTGTGGTATTGATAATTTCGTCGATGCCCTCTGCTCTTGCAGATCGTCGCCTCATTATCTCAAAAGCAGTCATCCAACCGCTTAAAATAGTCCACATAGACGATATGGCAGGACTAGATATGATCATTTCTACGCTGGGCTTGAGACTGAGTGCCGCCGTGATAGCCCCCATTACACCAGTGTACGGAGCCTTGACCCTATCTTCTAAGAGACCGCACAATGATTCAAGTGCAGCCTTTTGGACCTCCACAGAGGATGATTGTCGAATGACTTTACGGTAAATGTCAACTAGGCATTCGAGTAGGCCGTCTTGGTTGCCTAACTTGAACGCCTCTGGAATACAGCGTAGAGCCCCGATCACCGCGTCGGAACTACTTCCCAGAGATAGATCATTGATCCAGTGCAAAGATTCCGGAGTGTCGTTTAGGGCGGAAATGCAGACATTGTTCCTAGAGATTGCGGTACTCAAGCTTGCATACTCACCCACATCTAGTGTCGAATTACCTTCGTTCTGGCGCCATCCGAGACCTTGTAAAACACGAGCTGCTTGCTTCAACTGGGCCAAATTCGCATCTTGAGCCGGAATTCTGAGACAGAATAGGTGAATAGAATTGCTGACTTCGAAGTAGACTGTGCCAATAATAGGAGAACGATAGAGCTTATTGTCTACCGTCCACTGTTCATACAAGATTGGTGCGATCTGAGAAAGGAAGTCTGTTCGTGTCAGTAGCGCACACCAGTTCCGTTACACCGTCCAACAATTAGAGAGGCACTCACAGGGTGAGTGTGATCCAGCCATGGGTAATCTACGCTCCAAGATGACCTTAACAGCAAGCAATGTTCCATGACGACCATTCGTGGTCTGCCTAGCATCTGAGAACAAGCCCTTGATAGTTTCTACCAAAGAATTGCTCATAGTAAGAGCACACAGTGTATGTGCAGCTGTTTCTCGGATCTGCCAAGCCTTGTGACCCAGGAAACCAGAGACGAGCTCCTGGATCTCGGACTTCATCGTACTTGGTGGGCCAGCACGACGTAAGAAATCCAGGGCAGGCAGGACAGTATCCCCAGTACCTATTTTGAGCAGTTTGACAATCATCTCTGGCAATGATGGATATCTGTCGTAGGAGATCTTGACTGACTTTCCGTCCCAGCCGTCCTCGATATCTTGCTTGCTTGGTGAAGTGCCGAAAATGGAGTCTGCAAGACTTCTGAAGAGAATCAAGCCACAGTTTTGTATCGGATAACTAGTTTTTACAATCAGCCGTGTATTAGGACGGTTTTTTATGCTTGGAACTTACTTCTTGCTCTGTAGACTGTTCAATGCCAACCAAAACAGTCGAGCCACATATGATTCGACTTGTAGGCGAATGTTTGGGTATCGGACCATATCCTTGAGACAATTCAAGGCATGTACCTGTGGTAGTTGCGTGTCATCAAGCTCTAGATTCTCTACGGGCGCACTGGCCAAAGTTATGAGCTCTTCCATGACCTCGACGAGGGATGGTGATTTAGCCTGTGCAGATAATATACCTGTAACGAGAGCTGGAATTCCTGCAGATCGTCTGGTAGTTGATACCTGAGTTGAAATACAATCAAGAGCACCCTATATATGTTAGTACTAATCTGAGTTCGGAGGGTAAAGGTTACTTACCTGATACCATTCCAGTAACAGCATCGAAGTTGAAGGCGGAAGGCTACGATGCACCGCGAGCTGACAGCATGTTGCGAAAGTTAGAGTGACAGTCGAAAAAGCTCCTCGGTGGCGCAGATTTGAAAGTTGATCAAATGAGAGTTGCCCAATCTGGTGAAAAAGTTCGGCAGGCAATAAAGGCGAAGCATCTGGGGAAGGCAGTCTCAGTTTCGTTTTATTCGCCAGTGTCCTCATGAGATTGCTGCAAGATTACTAGTGAGTGGTGTGTTATTGAGTAGACTGGGAGGGTCAAGTTACCTGGACTCATGAACTGCTCTGAAGCTGTAGCTCAGTACGTCTTTTGTGTCTATATCATTGCCTTCCTCGAGATCCTGGGGAAGATGACCTTCCGGAGAGTCATTGCAAAGAATACCCTTCACAGCGATCCATATTCGCGAGCAGCAATCGACCATACGTTGCTGCAAAAATCCTAACTGCTTGTCGCTGTCATAATTCGCCAATTCGGGAAAGTGCTTCAGGTGGTCAACAGATTCCCATACAAAGCTGGTGATAACATTAGTGTTGTAAAGCTGGAGTTAGAACAGCGACCTACGTGAGAGCTGCAAATGTTCCATGGATCGGAGCATTAAATACTGCCTGGCCTAGGCTTCCCTCAGCAATCCCCACCTTTGTTTCTAGATCCTGCACTAGCTTGCAGAGAACATCCATTCGGCTCTTAGACGATGTCTGTAAGCCGTACAGAAGCTCGTATGAGCGTGCGACACCATCTGCATGATCCGCACGACCGGTTTGTTTGGAAAGCTCCTCGGCTCGTCCAATGAAATTTTCCAATAGATGAAAAGATCGATATTTTTCTTCGGCATTTACGACGAGAGTTGGGAATGTATGATTTGTTCGTTGAATATGTGCCCCATCAGACTGGATAGTAGCTTCCGATGTCTCATGGGAGGGTGCTTGCTCAAAACTGTCTGAAGATGCAAGCTTGAGGGTGCTGGTAGCTGCACTTCTCACATCTTCGAAAGGGTCCAAGAGAAGATCCATGAGCAGTCTTAATGAGCCCCGCGCGAAGAAATTTAGAGTATACGGCCAGAGCGTGTTATCTCCTGAATCTTTCCTAGGTAGAATCGGAGAGTCTTGCTTGAGAATTCCACTGCGAAGGAGCAAAGAAATCGCTTTCAGTGCTGTGATGTGGCGCTGGTAGGATGCCGTTGGGATCAGCTCCAGCAAGAGAAACTGGGTGTACCAGGTAATGAAACTCTCGTGGCTTTGTAGGAGCCCCTTAACAGCAGCCAGTCTTTGTCGGCCTTCCTGCAGAATATCGGGCAGATTTTTTTTTCGATTGAGCAGAAAGGATATGCTTTCGACCTCCTTCACTAAGAATGAAGTGGCGCCCCTGAGCCTCTCAATCATATGCTTTGTGCTGCTCATGATTTCATTTCTAAATTTGGCATCTGTATCTGAGTAGAGAATATGCATGTGAGTTTGCAGAATCTTCAGCGCAGTGCTGCTGAATGGTTTGACCGTAGACAACGCGGACACCAGTACTGAAAATGCCAAGGAACGAACAGTGTCAGATTCGTGAGTCAACAGCGAGCCGATCGATTCCTCCTTGAGTACGACAGGACTGGATAGTTTCTTGCTGGGTTTCTGGAATTCAATTGTATCTATGTAAGTGTTAGTTTGTAGCCAGCAAGTCGATAATTATTTTTCGTACCTGGCTCTTCTACCAGCCCAGCTTTCTTTCCAGTCTCCATAGCAGAGAGTTGGAGTAAAGAATGAGCATTCGTGTCCTGACTATCAATGTCTCGATGAGTGCTCTGCTTGTTCAAATCCTCCAAAAAAGCTACTGAGCCAACCTTGTCAAGTTTGAAAAGGGGGGTGAAGAGGTAGTTCTTGACATTCTCTAAAGCCTCTGGGTTCTTGCCAAGACCTTCTCGAATCCAGCGTTGCCATGAAGCAGTATTGCTCGTAGCTATATCCGCATATATTGATACAGTACGCAGATCACGAAATACTGTGACAAGAAACTTGCCCGCTGCGGGAGAGATGTCTTGGGATGTCATCCAGTCAAACATAACAGAAAAGAAAGTGTCCCACATGGGTTCTTCTACTGAGGACGCAGCGAAGCCATTCGTCTTTGATTCCATGGTCACATCTTGGCTTTCGTTCTTGGTGTTCCCAATAACCAGTTGCGAATACGAGTCCAAGAGGTCCTTTGCTTTGATGGTGCCCTTGCTCATAAGGCACTCCAGAGATTTGAATGCAGGCTTAACCAAAGGCAGAGCAGCCTGGTGGGTGATTATAGAGATGTTTCTCTCAATGATTTGGCTTTTGATAGAGCGAGTGACCTTTTCTGAAGAGTTCTTCGCAATCATTGTCGAGATAAGCTCGATCACTTGTCTCATGGAGCGATTTTGATTCTTCTCATTCCATTCGATGTAGAAATGAAACAAGTCAAGACAAGGTTTTTCCGAGAGTATGGCTTCTCTAATAGGAGACGATTTGGATTTGACGCATTGCTCGATGAAATAGCAGAGCTTGATGCAAGCATTGCCTGAGATCTGTCGAGGTTGCGCCGCACTGGCCAGATAGGCCTCAAGCCTTTCTTTGGCTAGGCTAAGTAATCATGTCAAATCTGTTCACCTCTCGTAGAAAGTGCTCACTTACCTTGACTGAGTTTCGGCGGGTTGGCTCTCGAGCCATTTAACGACTTGCCGATCATCGCTCGGTGGTCCCAGATTGGAGGATGGCAACCCACGATCTACATCAGGCATTGGAGTCATTTCAAACTGGCTATTAGTGCGACCGATATGTGGGAGTCTTTGAGGGGGAACTCTGTTCTCCGTCCATGAATTTTGCCCTCGAATTATTTGGCGATTGATATTGTTGAAAAGTGTTTCAGAGCTGAGCCCTTGCAAAGACAGGAAGCGCAGCTTGAGGGGGGTTGCACAGATCAATCTCCGTACTTCGATTTTGACAATTGGGAAAACAGTTGGGATCGCTTTACACTCGGGTACGGGAAAGTCGAGTGGGAGAAGTCTTGATGTCTTGTCAGCCCCATGGCAGGTGGATGGAGGAAGGAAAAAGTATTCGCTTACCGGGACTACAACACTTATCTTGGCTAACTGTTCCTCGCCACCATCAACCTGAATGTTGGCAGACTGTGGATGTAAGATATAGCGGGAGAAGACTTCTCAAGGATCATTCTATGATCATCGATCATCGATCAGCACGCACTGGGTAAGAGACTGAGTGAGCTATTTTAATTGTCATTCCAAAAAATAAAAAAAAAGTTGAGATCCAAACTGGTGCCCGGTTAAAAGTAGCTCCGGCTCCGGCTCCATCCCTACAATTTTTATGCTCTCGGCGACAAAGCTGCTCGACACCACACTCATCGCCGCCATCACCAGCGACATCGACCCACCCTCCAAGCTCTACGCTTTCTCCCCCTCTCTCCCTCTCTCCCTCTCTCTCTACTACGCGATTCGATATGTCCATCTGGGACAAGCTCACCGGGCGTAAGCCATCCTCTTCGACGGCATCTTCAGACTCTTCTCCCTCCAGCGCCCCCTCGGATACTTTCACTCCTACCCCCTTCAATCCGCAAGATGCCCAGGATGTCACATCTTTTCTGAGCGGCACTTCCCTCGCGGACCCCTCACAATTACATCCTCTGGCTGGCCTCAACCAACAAACCTTGGACTACTTATCTCTCGAAGATTCTGCGTTGTCTGATCTTCCCGGCTCACAATCGGCACTTCCATCACGAGGCTGGTCCGATGATTTATGTTACGGCACTGGAGTTACATATCTATCGGCCTTGACTGTTGGAGGAGCTTGGGGGCTACAGGAGGGGCTGAGAAGGTCAAATGGACAACCGCCGAAGTTGCGACTGAACTCGGTGCTGAACGCTGTCACAAGGCGAGGACCGTTCTTGGGAAACTCCGCTGCCGTAATCGCCATGGTATACAATGGTTTCAACTCTTACATCGGCTACGTGCGAGGGAAGCACGATTCTGCGAACAGTATTTTTGCCGGTGCATTGAGCGGGATGATCTTTAAGAGCACAAAAGGTGTCCGACCCATGATGATCTCTGGAGGAATCGTTGCTTCTGTTGCAGGTGCATGGGCTGTAAGTAGCGCCATTCGCAATCCTGAACGCATCCACTTACTTTTTTTCGCCAGGTTACGAGAAAAGCCTTGTTCTAGATGCCCAATCTCCTACCTGACGTCCCCGAAAAACCTAAAACTGCCGATGACGTGAGCTATCGAGCACCTTTCCTGTACAGCAAATTTTTCACCCATGGGATTACCATGGAATCATAATTGGGCGCAGAATGTATTAGCGATGGATGATCTATCCTTTGGTCTGAGCTACCTGTACAATAGATGGATGCGAATGGGACGCGCAACAGCATGACTAAAAGGCGCGTTGCCGTCTTCAGAATCTCTACCTTATAAAGAAATTCCAAGAAAAATGAGCAGCCCCAGCTTCCTCGATTTGCGACATCATGAAGATTTAAATTCAATTTATCAACTTAATGTGTATCGCCATGGCTAACAGAAGCTCAGACGCCTTTACGAATTCTCGAGTTCCATGCATGTGCCTTTTTTCAATGTCACGAAAACTTGTTGTCGGCTAAGCCTCATAAGCGATATAAAAGTTGCGAGCGATGGCGCTGCTAAGCACAAGCACATTCACCTTCGAGTTCACTCATCTTTTCCTGTTCCACCAATGACTCAGCAGATGGTGGTGTATTTCCTTTCCTTTTATCTGGTTCCTTGCCTGCACAACATCGCCGCATCAAGTTCTACTACGACAGACCAAGATGTCTAGCTCTAGTCCAGCCGGCATGACCAATCCGGCTGTATGGAAGCTGAAGGAGATGCTTATTGAATGGAGACTGACGGAATTAACCCCTGAGGATGTTATGGCGCTGAATTCGGCAGATCTCGACTTCAGCGAGCTTGCCGTATTTGATCCCAACGAACTGGAAGGGGTCGAGTCTGGAGCGCCTCTGTACACTGGTCATGACCTCTACGCTGCTCCCCGGGTGGGAGGATCGGAACTCTTGAAGGATGGTGTGTTTGCGATTCTCAAAGCAAACAAAGCTTTGGTACCCAAGGTTCGAGAATTGCTTGACAAGGAACTTCTTCAATCAGGTTACGGGAAGGATTATTTGGGAAAACGTACCAATACAATGCAAAAGGTAATATTCCCAAACCTTCACAAATTCGGCGACTAATAAGTTGAAGGCTACTGCGCTTGCCATCCATCGATGTACAGGCACCTTGAGACCTTTCTCCGATGGCGAGTTCAAAAACCTCGATAGAGGCAAACATGGATTTGAAGTCTTGGTAACAACGTTGCGAAACGGCCATCCTCAAAACCGCGAGACCACAAGCCTTTACTTCAGGTATACCACAAAATACCACGAGTTCATAGAAGAGCTGCGAATTACCACCCACAAAAGTGCCATACCACCTATCAATGTCGCCCAGCTGCACAGCTACGATAAGAATGAAGTGGCAGATACCCAATCTAAGGCTTCAGGGATTGCTTTCCCAACACTTCCGCACTCTTTCACAGCTCCATCCGGCCCATCATCACCTCGATTCCAGAGCCAACGAGATGTGCAGGGTTATACTCTTGCGGACGGGCCTTGGCTGTACAGGGTTGCCCTCAATCTCAATGTTATTTCAAACTGTAAAGCTGGAGCTCCACCGGATCGAGAGATCAAGGACGCGGATACGTACCGGGAAATGATCGACTTCCTAAAGGATCAGGGGAAGAAGAAGACTGCAGAAGCCGTTATTACCGTCCTGGTCAAACATGTAAGAATATCTTTAGGCTTCCTTCGCTACAACTAACAATTCTAGTCTCTAGACGAGGAGGCCTGCAGACGCTGGAGACACCATTTGGAGGAGGAGGCTGCCGAAGAACAGCGATACGCACAACGAATGAAGAGCCTGGGCAGGCAGCACGGCGAAGAATCCGATATCGGAGAGCCATACATGGCCGCCCAGACGAGACGGCTCGCCGCTCAGCGAAAGGCCGGCCTCAGCAAATATTGGGACGCTACCCACGGTAGGGAAATTACGAGCGAACTGAGCAGAGCACGCATAGAAGCGCGGAAGGCGATGGCTGAAGCTGGACTCCTTTCTCGGAGCGAGATAGATGACGCCATGAAGGGCAGAGAGAAAGTTGAACGAGCTGCTTTCTACGCGGAGCTTGAGAAGAGGACCAAGGGATCCCGGGACCAAGATGACTTCCAGAGACGTCTAGAAAACTTGTGGCCTTGAGTTGGGGCTTCAGAAATATAGAAAGGTCGTCACATGATGGTAGATTGGGATAAAAGGATTTTTTCACATGAGAAACACCCTTTGAACCAAGTATCTCTACTCAGATGTGTCTTGTGCTCGCTATGAATAATGATAGCCATGATTCTCGTAGGAATTCCTGTAGACAATTACCTAGTCGAGGTTGCCCTATTTTCAAATGGTAAATCGGAGTTTTCTGGTCTGCAGCTTACTTGAAAGGATACCGGTATGCTGTGCACAGGAGCACGACCTTGGATTGTGTTGTGGCCTTAGGCCACCTGGCTACCACAAGGTGGCACAGACCACTTAGGAGAGGTATATAGCCTCACGCTTGCTCTGAGCTTCCTAGAGCAATACAACCAACTACCTTGCTCTCATTCCATTTCTTACCTTATTGTCTGATTGTTGGTGTGTCCCGATCGAGCCTAGCGCTCGGCGCCTCGTCTGTATAGATACAGGCTCAGAGCTCTTTCTGTTTCTTTTCTTGCTTGCATCCTAAGAAATATAAGCTCCGCTATAAAATAATTATGAGCTTAGTATAACAGACAGTTACACGTGCTGTAGTTAAAGTGCGGTAGTAATAGCAGTAATAATAATGATAACACAGTCAAATGTTGAATGAAAAACAGTAAATAAGAATACCTATGAATTCACCTAACTGGTTATAGAATTCAAGTTGCAGCTATATAAAATTCAATTACTTTTTAAAGAATTTACTTTGGTTTTTGAACCGCACCGAATCGGGAAGTGACACTGCAGCGGACTGGACTCTGCCTGCTTGTGTAATGTAACACTAACGTCCTTGTGCTGCCTTCTTTACCTTTAGAATTGGCCAAAGGCTCAGTCACTTGGCCATCTTCACCGACCCTCACGTTTTCGCCGCCCCTTACATCTTCCTCTCTTCTTCTCCCTACATCGCTCATAACCTTATCGTCAAAAACATTCCAACCAAAGAGATGTGCCTACCATGCTTCACCGAGGTGTTCGTCGAGGAGGAAGTTGTCACCAAAAAGAAAGAGAAGGTCACGACTGTATGGGACGCGAGCACAAAGACGTTTATCCGGGTCCCAAAAACAATGGTAAGCCGGCTTTCAATTCATTATCTGCGATGGGCTTTGCTTTGGTCTGCTTTGCTTTGCTTTGCTTTGCTTTTCCGCTCGTGCGTACTGGTTTTTGAGTTCTGGAGCATTCCTTCCCGATTCGGGCCCAATTCACGGTTTTGGTGTTCACTTCGGACGCTCAGACGTGCACCCGGGGAGACGTCAGATTGAGTCACCAGGTCCAGGTGAAAAGTATCGACAACATTCATCGTCCGGCGGACGTGTAACGCGCAAATAACGTCGACGTCAAATCAAAAAAATCGCCGCAAACTCCAACTCTCCTTCTCTCCACCTCCACCTCCTTCGACCCCATCAACCCCTTCAACCATCCCAACACCCTCCACATACAGCAACACACAACACCATACACAACACCGTACACAACACCATACACAACACCGTACACAACACCGTACACAACACCATACACAACACCATACACAGCACCATACACAGCACCATACACAACAAGCAGTGCACACACTGGATCGCCGGCCTTCAAGATGGCTGATCATCCACAAAACTTCCAGCCACAAGTCGGCACCGACACGACCCACGGCCCTCACCTTCACCAGTATATCCCGCGCTCAGATGGGAGTATCCTCGTCGGCGGCGTCGCGTACATCCCGCAGCACGTGGCCGTTCCTGCGACGGTGGCTCCAGTCTCTGTCCCAGTCGTCAGCGCGCCGATCGTGGTTCAACCTGCGTCTCCATTTGTACAGGCTCCATACCCCAGCAACCCCTTCTACAGCTTCCTGTATCCCTCCTACGCAAGTCTTTCAATCTGTATCAATAGCTTTCAATCGGCATTAAGATAACATTTCATTTACTGAATCACTGAATCACGGCTAACATCTCTTCGCGCCCAGATCCCTCCAGCTATGGTGCAGCCTATCATGGTCCCGCAACAAGCCTACATCCCACCTCCTCAGCCTATGTACGTTCCTCAGAGCGTATACGGCTATCCATCTGCCAGCTCGCCTTACCAGACATATCCGATCCCGACCAATCCTGCCTTCAGCTTCCAGCAACCTGCCTATAACACGGTTGGCTACACTGCTGGTGAGATGCTGACGCAGAACATGGGCCTGGCCATGAACTCCGATGCCAATAAGAAACAGGAGATGAAACCAGCCGATGACGATCCGTACCGCATGTACTGGTGCCGTGAGCAAGACAACACCTGGACTCAGCGCAACCGCTTGACGATCGATAGTGGTGACATTGGTGATACTCGGTGGTACTCGGTTGATGGCCAGTTCTACTGCATTAGGCTGTAGGATAGTAAGTTAACTGGATTGCGTCCGATTGGAGCTGGATCGCTGATGTTTTGCAGGTTGGATTTTCTCTGCGGCTTCGATTTTATTGGGCGTGGTCAACGAATGGCAGAGGCACCAGTTTTCTCTGGGCGTGGAATTGCGGCACTGGTCATCTAATTGGCTGGGCGAATGGGACATTGTTCTTTCTAATGCGTGGAGAGCAGCTGATGACGAAGCAAGAATTCCTTTTCGATTGTTTGCACCCTTTTGATATGCAGCTCAAGGACCTTGACTTCATATCTCCGAGTTTCCACATGGCACCCGAACAGCTCGACCAAATTTGCGGACGGGATTTGCGAGTCGAACGGATGATATTTTTGGCGGTTTGGATCATCCAAAAACGGTCGTCTCAATTTTCGTTCCTCTGATACCCAAGATGATTGATCTCGTGCGGAGGACTGCATACATCGGATTTGTCTGATTTGGGATCGGATGGCAGGGTGGAATGTGGCCATGGCACCGAGACACTTGGACGTTTTGCTTTTTCTAGCTAGCGATAGATTTGCTCTTTGAGCACGGCCGCGAAATTTAATCATGATTGCGAATGATTTCTCCCATTTGTGACTTGCTAAGATCGGACGGAGGTGGAATGGTAAAGGGGTAGGTAGGATGAAGAGGCAGAGGAAAGAAGAAGACCAGCGCAAAATCTACTTAAGTTCACGGCTGATGTTTACTTTGTTGCCGACGACGAAGAAGATACATAAAAGTGACGAGGAATTTAAACTATTTGAAGATTTCCAATAGTCGGCGTGAGACTCATCTGCCTACTACAGCGACGACGCTGGTGGTACCACATGCATTTGTTATTGTTATTATTGTTTTTATTACCTCTTGTTGTTATTCGCTTACGAAACTCGACCGAGGTCTTGGCCGCCCACGCACAGCTTATGCAACTTCCCTCCTTCCCCGCTTTCCTTTCCCAGCGAGCCAAAAATGGGAGATGTCCCATCTATGTTCACATTGAAATATCGCATCGTAATTTCAGAAGGCGATGGACAGATAGGCGAGACATCTGCCTTGGTTGTGAGACGTAGGTACTGCACCTGCTCTGCGTAGGCGGGGTAGGAAGTAGTGAAACGCATTTGAATGTATATCGACAACGTCACCGGTCTCTCTCACGTTGATGTTCAAAGCCATGTGTTTTTTTTTTCAATTTCCCAAGGGGGAAAGAATAAAATGAATTCATATACAGGAATTTCTATCTATCTAATCGTTGCCTCGTCTTCTTCTGAAAAAAGGATTTTTTTTTTTTTTGGTTCTTTGTTTCTTTCTTCCTTTCTGTGTCTGAGTGACCTCTTTCGCTCGGCAAAAGATTTCCCCATTCTGTGTGTGTATTTTCAGAGATAAAAATAAAATAAAAAGGTAGAGACAGACAGACAAGACTCAGAGCCAGAGCCAGATGTAAAAATGAATGTATTAGCTCTCTCACTCACGCGCTCATTCGCCCACCCACTCCTTTACACGGCAGCAGCAGCCCGATTCCGCACCCGCTTCAGTAGCGTCGTCGGCACGCTCTTCATGGCCGTGATTCTAGGGCTGCTCTTCTTCTTGGGCGTAGGAATCAGCGGCAGCATCGAGCCGCTGGGGAACGGGATCGTGGGCGCATCCTTGGGGATGTAGGCCGCCAGCGATGCTGCTGCTGCGTGTTTCGTCTGGATTGCGTTGATCGCTTTGGGGGCTTTGGTTTGGAGGGGGGCTTTGGTTGGGGAAGGAGTTTGGTTGGGATTGTCGTCCTTGTCGTCGGCGTCGTTGTCGTCGTCCTCGTCGTCCTCGTCAATTTCGTTGACGTCGTTGACGTCGTTGATGTCGTTGACGTCGTCGTGCTCTTCCTCTTTGGCCTCACCTCTCTTGCCTGCAGGCTTTTTGGCTATAGGCGCGGGGGTGGCGGGTGCTAGTGCTGGTGCTGGCGCGGCTCCGTTGTTTGGGTTGGGTGCGTTTGTTGCTTTAGGGACTGCGGGTTGGAGGATGGAATTTGGCTTGGAGAGTTGATCGTCGTCGTCGTCATCGTTATCGTTGTCGTCGTCTACGTCGTTGACGTCGTCATCGTCATTGTGATCGTCGATATCGTTAACATCGTCGACATCGTCAACGTGGTCATCAACATCTTTAACATCTTCAACATCGTTGATATCGTCAATATCGTTAACATCGTCGACATCGTTAACATCGTCGACATCGTTAACATCATCAACATCGTTAACATCATCAATATCGTTATCAACATCGTCATCAACATCGTCATCAACATCGTCATCAACATCGTCATCAACATCGTCATCCACATCGTCATCCACGTCTTTCTTATCTATCACCCCTCCAACCGCAGGCGCAGTAGTAGCGCGCGCTGCCGCCGCTACATCTCCCGTCTTGCGCGCCTTGGACCCACTCCCCATCGGAGCCTTAGTCTTACCAGCCTTCGGCTTCTGGCCAGACTTCTCCCCACCGCATGTACCCGCCTCGCCGCTCTCTGCTGTCCCACTCGTTGCAGAGCCGCTGCTGGATAGACCTCCTTCGGTAGCTTCATCCGCCGTCTCCGCCGATTCGCCCCCTGTCTTGGGAGAAGAATTTTTGCTTCCTGTCTTGCATTCGGATGAGCCGCTGGATTCCGTTCCGTTTCTGGCCCCCTGGCTAGGTCCCGAAGAGATGGGAACTAGTCTTGGGGATGGGGTTTCCGAGGGTTTATTTGATGTCGGCTCTCCCCCTGATGGCTCATCTTGTGCTGGCTCTTCTTCTGATGGCTTTTCCTCTGACGGCTCTTCCTCTGATGGCTTCTTCTTTGATGGCTTTTCATCCGACGACTCATCTTCTGAAGGCTTCTCCTTTGATGGCTTTTCATCCGAAGTCTCATCCTCTGACGGCTTCTTCTTTGATGGCTTTTCATCTTTCTCCTCCTTCTCCTCCTTCTCCTTCCCCTCCTCATCGCTCTTCCCTTGGCTATCTACGACGCCTGCGGGAACAGCTGCGCGAGATTTATTCCCGGTCAACATCCTAGGAGCGACATAACCATCGTTAGCTCTCGGCTCGGGATTCTTATCGAGGAGGATCGTTGCCAGCTCTAGTGCCCGTGGTAAGAGGTTCTTGGCTGAAGCGGGTGCCGGGACTTTGATGCTGGGCTCCGCGCCAGCAGGGAGAGGGCTGAGCAGCGAGGACGGCGTGTCGACAGGCTCGTTATGGCCTTTCAATGCCGAAGCGAGACTGAGGAGAGGGAGAATGGCGAGGGGAATCTGCATTGTGGGCGGTGGGCGGCGTTTGCTCCAATCTCTTGTGCTCGTGATGTTTTGATATCCTGGAGTGAATGTTCGGTGAAGAAAGTGGAATGAAGAAAGTAAACTCAAGAGAGTAGAGTGAAGAGAATGAAGTTGTACCTGTGAGTGATCGGTAGTGATGGTGAAGAGAGCGTGGTAAATGGTGGACCGATGGAGATACTTAACCTCCTGCATTGCTTTGCTCTTCGCTCATGCGCTTTGCATGGGCCCGTCAAGTTTCGAAGTGATCCGAATTCATTGCGCACAGCACGCTGGAAACCATAGTCCAGATGGTTTTTTTTCTCTCTCCTTCGCTCGATCGCCTGCAATAGCCGTGCCCAGGCTAGGGTTTCGGCCAAGATTCAGACGGCAGAGAGGGTCTGTTACCTGTAGATCAACAAGTGAAGGATAGATGAGATTTCTGAGAGAAACTTTGGGTCAATCGACCAGACTCTCTCTCTTGCCTCCCAGGGCCCAGATTTGTTTTGTTGCTGTTTTATCGATATCACCTTTCCAGGTATCCTTCTATCCCAATTCCAAACTACCATCATCATCTATCTCGTCAAGAATATTTTTCCCCTCCATGAAAAACTCCATCCGAATGCGAGGTCCGATGAAACGGCAACGTAGGTATGCATAGACAGCCCATTGCCAAGACCAGATCTCCAAATACATTAGCCAAACTCGAATACAGCTGCTGTGGCCTTGCAACCAGTAGATAGAAAAGACCTATTTCCAAAACTAGTACCTCACACCATCTCCCTCTCCTTCCAAATATCCCACCAAAAACCTCCCGTCTATCCAATCACATACACACAGACACGCGCACCACAGAAGAGGAAACGACCTCGCTTATCCTGAAGAACTCTAGCCGAGGCGCTCGGCTTCGGGGCCATCCAGACCTTCTTTCGTTCTTTCTTCTTTCCTTCCTGCGAACACCCCTGCAGTTAAGAAGATCATAAAACGTGCCACCAGCCGATACTAAAAACCTCAGACGGCGGTCGATATATACGTAGCGTAGCGTACGTCACGCGTGGCCCAAGCCAATTGACCAGGACACGGACGGGGAAAAGGAGAGAAAGGGAAAAATGGGCGGATGGTATACGCGGGAAGAGAAAAACACGGACGCCTGGCCTCGAACTCGATCAATCCGCCAGTCCTACATATATACATATATAATTTTCTCACTTTCATTCATTCGCTCGTGACCTGGGAGTTAGATTGTAAACAAACGGAGAAGAGTTGCGAAGTCTCGTTCCTTCTTCTTCAAGCTTCAAGATTCGCCAGCTATTCATTCACTCCATTGACGTACGTTTTCTTGCGGATGGGGAATGATCCAAACAGGGAGGCGGCGTCAAATTCGCTGAAGCTGAGAGCGCTACGCTACTACGGTCTGGGATCGGAAAGGGTGCTTGCTTGCTTGCTGCTTGAGCGCTCCGTGCGGAACGATCGAGGTCGATGTCCATATACCGTGCGCTGAGCAGGAGTATGAGCATGAGATGGAGAGGCATAACTAACTAGCTGGGGAGTCGGACGTAATCTTTTCTTTTTTTTTTTGAGGCTCGAGGATTGAGGCTTGGCTGAGGCTTGGGATATGTGACTAGTACATCGTGGGTAAGTGTGTTTTCGCTATTGAGGTGGCGGAGTGTAAAGGCTAGTAGGTGCGGCCCAGTACAGCTTGTTAGCGCATTGACGGGATATGATATTTGTGGGAAAAAAAAATGTAATTCTATCAGCTCCATATTCCTTCGCTACTAATCGTCGGTTACCTTGAATTTAATTTGTAAAAAATCCCGACCTGGCTGCGCCAGGTCGGCACCACCAAGGCGGGACAGTAACGGTATACCACCTATTAAACAAGAATTATTAATATGAATACAAATAAAAAAATGCTTATATGCTTAGAAAACCTCGCCTTACAAATGTAAATTGAAAATATAAAGATGCATTCATTTTTGGTGATATAATACATTAAAATGTAGTGAAAATATAGGTAAAAACTGTCACAAATAATTCAAATTTACTTGTTTGCTGCGAATATCTTAACAACCACAACCTTAATTAAAAAAAACGTCCCATAGATCGAAAAATGTTTGTGTTTATACTCTCAAAGGAGGACGCGGGCTACAACCTTCAATGCCTTGAAAGGCTGTCGGTGAGATACAGGATAAAAGCCTTTGGTCAGATTGGGCTATATTACAGTGGTATTTTCCCAGAGTCAGAGGTCCTCAGCAACGATCGATTGCTTGGAAGTCATTTTCCCCACCCGCCATCCCTGGCCACACTTCATGTATTCAGAATGGGCCTAATTAGAAGCGTTAGACTTCTTTGAGCTTAGCTCATTTTTCTGATAACTGGCTTCTTCTTAAGCTACTCTCAGCTACTGCAGAAGCTTGCTAGCCAGCTGTCATTACACCAGTCAAAGCTCAAGGGCGCCTGTCAGCCAAAACTCATAGAACTTCACCTTCTCTCTTTCCGAGCAATCGAGTTTGAAGATAAACAAATGATTTAATCTATTATATTACTAAAATTATTAATTATCAATTAAAAGTTGATAATGATGCACGTAGTCTTTTGATAGGTTTAAATAAAAGTCCGATTTTCGTGTTCCTCACTTATTCTGATATATACGCAGTAGTTAAATCGAAAAGTACATATCAAAAGTACTATTTTTACTACTTTAAGCGAACACAATAAAGGAATAATAATTTGTAATTAAATTTTGATTGATTGATTTATGTTAAAATTAATACGGTGCATCTTTTTATACAAAACTAATTACCATATAATGGTTGCTTGATTTTCTATTTATTATAAAGGACCAAATTTTACTGTCCCGCCTTGGTGGTGCCGACTTGCTACAGCAAGTCGGTCAATTCTTTCGAATTAAATATAAGGACACCGACGAATATCGCGCTCGGATATTATTTTTTGACCTAGGCCAAGGGAGACAATTTTGATCCTCCTTCTGATCCCAATACGGTGAAAGCATCAGCATCATCTCTCCTATGACTTTGAAACATTTGTACTTTCGCTTGTTAAAACGATCCGTTTGGTTATCACGATCAAGAGTCAGGAAGGAAGCAAGGCAGAAAGGTTCCAAAGATATGTGAGGAAAAAGTCAATCGGTCTATCCTCTCTATCCAAAGCAACAGAGTCGCCGGTACATATTTCTGGGCTGTGTATCGTCCTGACGCTACTCCAACACAAGAAAGACATAGTACTACGAAAAGAAGGATACAAAACAATATATATAGACATGAATGTTCCCATCTACATCTCTCAAATCCGAGCTACTCCACCTTATGGCCAAAACATATTCCATCTTCTAAGCGGATGGAGTTGGGCGGGCGAGAGTCTTGAAGGTGGTTGGGAATCCTATCTTAGGACCTCCTCCAAGTCCAAATCCTCCGTTGCCAGTTGGAATCGGGGGAAAGCCTTTGCCGGAAGGGATCGTGATCTTTGGGAGACTCGTACTGAAGGCTTCTTTAAATGCGTCGCCGATGTTGCCGGTAGGCACCGAAGGAAGAGATAGAGAAGGCTTTGAAACGGT